CTGGAGGAACACAGCAGGCCAGGCAGCATCAGGGGAGCAGGAAAGCTGACGTTTCAGGTCGGGACCCTTCTTCAGTTCTTACTATGTCTGAGAGAGTTTAAGGGTTTCTGTGTCTCTCCTCCACCCCCAAGTCTCCTTAAAGGAAACAGGAGAAGTTTTAACAATACATTTACTCACTTGCACTTTCTGAAGAAGTTGAATTTGCACTGCATCATATTAAAAACATGTTGAATTACTCTGATCCCGAGGTTTGCATTTATGCAACACCTTGTCACCATAGGTGCTCGTGCCTATGCATTTAGAGACTTACATGATCATGTGTGTTTGCATCATGTGTGTATTTGTGTGTTTGTGACTTGTTATTTTTGTGTGCAAGCATGCTTTGCCTTTTGCCGTTATCTTTGTTTTGTCTTTTTGAACTGCACTGTGTAGTTTTTCAGTTCTGTGACAAGTTCTGTAAGATCAGCTTGTTTCTCCTCTCTACCGATGCGGACCGATCTGCTAAGTGTTTCTGACTTTGCTGTTCATTTTATTTTCTGTTCGCTGGCACTTGAACCCTTTGCACTGAGGAACAAATTACTTGCAACCAATTCACATCACTCAATCTGTTCTAGCAACATGATCACTTGACTATACTCGATTGGAATTCTCTCTGACTTTTCTTCCCACAGTATGAACAGTTGCTCTGTTGTGTATCCAATCAGCAATGTTTTTCTGCGCCTGGGAGTATTAAGCCTCACATTCCTGACTACAGGGGCTGCTTACAGGAGCTTGCACCTCCAGCAAATACTTGTCAAATGAGGAACACCACAATTAATGATGGGAGGCAGCTGTTGAAACAGGAAGGGGCTCGGGATTGTTGTGGTGAGTGTGAGGAGGAGCAATTTGACCAGGTGCAAGCAGCTGGCTGCTTTCCATCTGAGCCATGAACTTTGGAAGCTTGGGTTGCCAAAACTCCAGGGTTGCCTTCAGGAATTGACAATTAATCTCCAGGATTAACCTGCAGAAAGCAAAGCCCAGGAGAAAAATAAATCAGGGAATTATGTCCATATAATCATACCATAGAACCTGTACAGTGTGAAAACAGGCAATTCGGCCCACAGGTCCACACTGACCAAGCCTCTGAAGAGCATCCCACCCAGACCCATTCCCTTACGCTATCTCTTTAACCCTGCATTTCCCATGTCTAACCCACATAACCTAAACATCCCTGGGCACTATGGGCAATTTAGCATGGCCAATCCACCTACCCTGCACATCTTTGGACTGTGGGAGGAAACCGGAGAACAGGCAGAAACCCATGCAGACACAGGGAGAATGTGTAAACTCCACACAGACAGTCACCTGAGGGTGGAATTGAACCCGGGTCCCCGGCACTGAGTCAGCAGCGTTAACCAAGTCAAAATGGCTTTCTCTGAACACCTTAGTTCAAACAGTATTGGAGAGAGATGGCAGACCATAAGCAGTCTAAGCCACAATCAGGATGAATCCAGTTACAGAGTTGCTTCTCAATTTGGCTGGCTGTTCATAGTTGATGCATTGGACTACTGCTAGGATATGGGGATAGGGGGCTGGAATGGCACACGATGAAGGAACATAACCAAGTAGAGTTGACAACCCTGCCAAATGGCCAATGTGAGATTGTCGCTCAACTTTTGGAAGCTGATCTAATGGTCCCGATTTCGTCTTTGGGTCTGAATTAGTCTGAGTAGGAGCTGGAAGCCAAGGACCCCACCTGCATATTGGAGAATCATGAGCATTTGAGGCCAGGCCCCAATATAAATTGAAGGTTTGAGGCTCCTCATCAACAGATCTCAGAAATGCTCCGATTGTTGACTTTAAGGCATATACCTGAAAGGATAAATGGCCTTCAATCTATTGAGTACATGCTTTCCCATGTAGCATGCTGAACTACCAGGAGTCACAATAATGAGTTTCGGAAGGGGACCCCTGTACTTATTTCTCCAGATTGGTGATCCTGGGGTTAGCTCCGTTACCCTACTCCCCGCCCCCACCCTCCCCAATATTCCCCCAGGTGTAGGTGTGCCTGAGAGTTGGTACAAATCAAAAAGTAGACTGACTTGAATTTCCAAACTGCCTTTCGCTGCCTCTGGGTTTCCCAATACGAAGTCAATGAAGTGCTTACGGAAGTGTAAGCGTTCTTGTAAGTTCAACTTGTTGTAAGCGTTCAAATTCTGCTAACTACCAAAAACAGATACAAGAAAAATCAGCAATTTTTGTCTTAATCATGTTTGTTGAGAGGTAAATATTAGCCAGTATTCTGGGAAGAACTCACCTGCTTTGAATAATATTACAAGAATTTATACATCCACCTGAGAGGGCAGAAAAAGCCTATGATAGTTTGACATTTCATCCAAAGGACAGCACCTCTGGCGGTATTGTATTGACTACACTTGATAGTCAATTAGTATTGGTACTGGGAATGCTGGCTTAGATAATGGAGGTCAAAAGTAAGTGATGGGAGGTGAATGCACTTGAAAAGCTGATATTACTACTGACTGAACTGAAATCTAATGAACAGTAGAGTCATAAGCCATAGGCAATACCACATCCTATAAGTTCCAGCCTAGAGGTGAACTTCATAAAAGACTGGACAGTGCCTTTACCAACTGGGTCTTTGTGGAGACATTTTCACATTTTTCTTAATTTGATACAAGATAACACAGTTAAATCAGTGCAGCAACAAAGCTGTGATGTTATCCTACATCCTGTGACCAGTAGCTCTTTTGTGTCTGAGGGGTTGTGACTCACACTGAGTCACAAACAGTGACATGGGGACACCGTTTGGACTGAAAGGAAAAGCATTTCCAATGCTTCAGGAGTTTCTTTACATGATAAAATAGAATGAAATGCTTGCCCACGCCAGATGCCAGCTGCTGTTGGAGTGAACACTGTTTGGTTCCAGTTTTATCTGATCCCATCCTGTATGCAAATTTAAGGTCACTGGATAATGATGGTCCCAGGGAGATTAAGATTGAGAAATAGTGAGGTAAGCAATTTAACACAATTATTTCATTGATATTCTGTCATTGAATCTCTATTATTTGGTCTTTAACTCTAACAATACAGTACAACAGTATAATTATAAAGGTTAATTACAGCCTGTTCCATGTCAATTTTGCATATGTTTACACTGATATTCACTGCAGCACCAAGCTGGAGACGCTGTTGGTGTTTTGGAAATGTGGCTCCTTTCATCTCTTGCAGACAGTTGTGATTCAGTGAGTCGCATTTACACCTCTGCTGAGACATAGGTTTGCAGGTTCAAGTCCCGCTTCAGAGACTTGATGGCCAATACCTGGGTGTCAAGCTAGATTCTCACTCTCTACTGCAGTATGGAGGAAGTGCTATGCTAGTGGAAGTGTCATCTTTCAAATGAAATATTGGACAGGGTTCCAGTTTGCCATCTGAGGTAAATGTAATCAATCCCACGATTTAAAGAAGAGGTGAGGAATTCTCCTCAGTGTTATGTCTCATAGAACATCACAAGAACAGATGATCAGTTCATTATCACATGGCTATTTGAGAGTTCATTGTACACTAATGGGCTGCCACACTTCCACAGTACAGCAATAACTACAGTTTGAAAGGTAACTCATTGGCTAAAAAAATTATTTTCGGACTTTACGATTATACAATGTGCTACATAAATTCAAGCCCTTTAGATTTTATGGTGAAGATTGACAAATGATCATGGAAGTTACTTCTTGCCATTTCCTGTTGAGGTTACTTAAATTCATCTTTGTTAGTTCTGCAAATGTAACAGGTGTGTATCCAGCATTCAGCCACCAAATAGCTAGTTACTAAGGTTGTCGACTTGCTCACCGAGCCAGTGGGCTTGGTTGCAAACGTTTCATCACCCTGCTAGGTAACATGCGCCTCCGGTGAACCGTTGGTGTTCTGTCCCGGTTGTTATTTATATGTCTCTGTTTGCTGGGGTGGTTTTTGTTTCCCAGTTTTGTTTCTCAGTGGTTTGTACAACAGTTCAATGTGTTTGTTGATAGAGTTCCGGTTGGAATATCAGGCCTGTAGGAATTCCTTAACATGTCTCTGTTTGGCTTGTGTGATTATCGATGTGCTGTCCCAGTCAAATTGGTGTCCCTCATTGTCCGTGTGTAGTGCGACCAATGAAAATTAGTCGTGGCTCTTGGTGACTAGTTGTGTTCATGTATGCGCAAATGCAATGTATGATAAAGATTACGTTACTATAATTTGAGAACTTGGATTAAAAAATGGAGGAAAGATAGATTTTAGTTTTGAGTGCGATAAATGTGACTTGGTTTTATTAACAAAGTTCAGGAAGACATTTGGAGCAGTGAACAAGAGGTGGTTGTTTTATGATACATAAACATATGGTCAGGGCTAATGACATGTTCTATTCACAAGATGAAATGTCATTAAAGTAGGAGATCAGTTTTTAATTTGTAGGAATCTACAGGTTGTGACAACTGAAAAGTCCAGGCTGTCAGGACTGGAAAGAAGTGTCAGTGCCATCAGAGCTGGAAAGAGTCAGTTGAGTAAGAAACAGAGTTAAGGGAGGAGTGATGCTTCATTCTGATTGAATAACTGTAAGGGATATTTCTGGGAAAAGGGTTGAATCTTTCTAAATTGTCATATGTATGGCATTCTTCCACACAACCCCCCACCCCGACTTTTGGATAATAAATTTGTGTACTTTTGTTAAAAGAACATTGACAGCCTTGTGTGAATATGTTCAGTGACTAAATCATCCCGGTAACCAAACTGCACAAATCTCCTAAGTCAGGTTTACTTTATCTGTAAGTCTCTGGAGTCGGACTTAAACCCAAGAGTATTGCCCACTGAGCCATGACTGATACCTTAGAGATATCAGCTTATTTAGAAGGCTCGGTTTCAGCTGAGCTGCTGAAAATATGGAATTCTTGTTGGGACAGTGATCAGTGATCCTCTCAGCTTTTCCTGTCTTCCTAAACTGTGTTTTATGTACTTCTTCATGTCAGGTCCAGTTTCTGAAACAATGGGGTTCAGCTCTGATCTCTGGTGTCCCCAGGGACACACCATGCTACTACGATTACAGGATTCAGAGGTCCGGTTGATGGAGACCATGAAGAAATGGATGAACTATCGAGTGAGGAGTGACAAGGAATACTCAGGGTTACTTCATCAAATGCTCTCTCAAGTCGAGAAACAAGAGAGCAGCCAGCAGGCTGGAGGACTTGATTACATCAGTCAGGTCAACAAGGTAGGAAGGATCCAATGATCTAGGGATTTGTCTGGTTTACAACAATGACCGGACAGTGGCTTGGTGGGTGAAAGCCATGCCTGCTGTGGTACTGAATCAAGCAAGCTACAAACTTCAGCTGTGGCTGAATAGCTATTAGCCTTGTTTCAGATTTATGAGTTTCTGGGTTGAGCACCATCCACTAACTTCAGCACAAAAATCTTACTTGGCATTTCAGTGCAGTACTGAGAGAGTGCTGAACTGTTGGGGGTGCCATCATTTAGACAACATCTTATAAGGAGACCGGGTCTAGCCTCTCGGGTGGATGTAAAAGATCCCAGGGCACCATTTCAAAGAAGACCAAGAAGCTTCTCCCCAGTGTCAAGGCCAATATTTATGTCTCAAACCATGCCATAAAAACAAATTATCTGCTGTTTTACGATGGTGAAAAATTTTCTGGCCTCTTTCACCTACCTTGCTGCACATTGGGCCCTGATATTCACAAATAAATCAGCACAGGGTTAGGTACAGAGAAACTCACTCTACTCTTTTAAACTGAAAGTAAAGCTCTCTAGACACCGTCCCCACTAAACACTCTCAGGGCAGGTACAGCGCAGGGTTAGTCTAAGAGTAAAGCTCTCTCTACACTGAACCCATCAAACATTCCCAGGATGGCACAGCACAGCACGGCACCAGTCATTCAGCAAAGCACCGTCCACACCATCCCCATCAAACACACCCAGTTAGGGACAGTTGATTAGCTCAGTTAGTTGGATGGCTGGATTGCAACGCAGAGTGACACCAACAGTGTAGGTTCAATTCCCTCACTGGCTGAGTTTACCATAAAGGCCTTTCCTTTTCAACCTCTCCCCTTGCCTGAGATGTGGTGACCCACAGATTAAAGCACCACCAATGTCTGTCTGTAATGAGAGAACAGCCTTATGGTCTGCTAAGACTATTACGATTTACCTTTTGACACAGAGTAAAGCTTTCTTGAAATTTTCCATCAAACACTTACAGGAAAGGGGTTAGATACAGACTAAGCTAGCTCTACCCTATCCCCATTAAACATTTCCAGGCGAGGAACAGCACTGGATTAGATACCAAGTAAAACTTCCTCTATACTGTATCAACTTCCCCTCCGCTGTCCCCACTCACCCAATTAAGCTTCTAATTGTTTCTTCTCTGCTTTGTGTTGAGTTTTATTTGTGGTTTTTCTTCATGCTGTTTTTTTTAATGTCATTTTCATTGCTTGTGGTTTTCAGCACCACATTTTGCAGGGAGAGTGTGAGGTGCAAGAGTCACTAATGTTAAAAATGTGTGCTCTTTCAGTCCTGGTCAATGATTGTTAATCAGACTGAGGTTTTGAGCCGAATGATGCGGAAACATTCAGAGGATCTGAACTCTGGGCCAATTAACAAACTAACACTTTTAATCCGTGATAAACAACTGCTGAAGAAGAACTACAGTGAACAGTGGCAGCAGATTAACCAGGAGGTGATCAAGGTAAAGAAGCAGGCCATTTATCATCTTGTCAATATTTTAGAACTGTGAATCAAAAACCTTTCCGTGTACGTACCTTTAAACATTCACAATATTTACCTGAGACAACACAGTGTGGAGCTGGAGGAACACAGCAGGTCAGGCAGCATCAAAGGAGTAGGAAAGTCGACGTTTTGGGTCGGGACCCTTCTTCAGAACTCCTGCTGTGTTCCTTCAGCTCCACACTGTTATCTCTGATTCCAGCATCTGCAGTTCTTGCTATCTCTGAATGACAATATTTATCTGATCTTCTGTTTCCTTACAAATATTCTCTTCAACATTTCCATATGAAATTGTTCTGGCCCCTTGGTTAAGATGTTTGTTTTGTTTGATCCCATTCCAAGATTCCCTATAAAACCCCCTTTGGTTCTGTAACCCTCACCTCAGTTGTCTAACCAAAAAAATTCAATCTACTCATGTTTGAAATTATCAATTGACCCCAGTCTCAGGAACTTTTGGACGAAAGGGGTCCAGATTTCTAATCCACCTATGTGTCAAAATCCTCGGGTAGACCCCGAATGGCCTGGTTCTCATTTTAAGGCTCTGTTACCTTATTCTGGCCTTTTCCATCAGAGGAAATAGTTTACCTCTGTCGAACGTTAACTTCTTTAGTTATCCTGAAGCAAAACAAAGATGACAAAAATTTGGAGGCTTTGATTGACCATGTTGGGTTGTTCCTTTATCCAGTAAGCCAATATTTGTTTTTAGATCTGGTCAGTGTCTGCCTATGATCACAGTCTTGCCTTGTTGAGAAATAGTGAAAACATTAATGTTTTCAAAATCATTACGATATCTGACTTATTCAATTTTTTGTTGCTTGGTCTGTTTGTGTTTCCACTTTGTCTTTAGTCATTAATACTGAGGTACTCCCAAACCACCATCAGATGGTTGCCACGAAAGACACCCAGATTGGGAAATACTTTTGGCAGGGAGGCAAGGTGCTGTTGGTACGGAGGAGTTGGGTGGAGGGAGTTGTTTGGAGGGGTTGAAGAGACTTCAGAATCAGGACAGCATTTAGCAAGATGAGAGTGAGGGAGACTGTCCCTCAGAGGCAGACCTAGGTGGAACAGAGAGCTTGCCCACAAGGAGTTCACGTTGTGAAGCCTGTAGATGTCCTCATTGTGGCAGTCCCTAAGAACCGCAAGGAAGAGTTAAATACCAGGGATCTTTATCATCTAGCTGCAGGAAAAGGCAAATTTTACTTTGATTTAACAGCCAACTGAAGGATGTGACAGAGCTGTACCTCCTAGTGAACCTTCTCTGAGCTGCTTACAATGAAATAATTCTTTCCTTAAATAAGGGGACCTAAACTCCTCACTCCAGATATAGTCTCACCCGCACCTTATATGGTTGCAGTAAGATGTCCCTACTCTTATACTCCAATTAAGAGCCAACATTCTATTAGCTTTCTTAATTACCTGCTGCACCCATGTGCTAGCTTTCTGTGTTTCGTGTATAAGTCGCCCCAAGTGCCTTTGTGTTGCAGTTTTTTTGCAATTTTGTCACCGCCAACTGGAAAATGAAGAAACTTTTTGTTATCCCATTGGATAATCCTTGACTGTCAGATTTGTAATGATTCCTTCTTTTGTAAACTTTTTTTATGATCGGAAATCAGAAATCTCTGAATTGTAATATTCAGACCACATGTTATCAGAAGATGTGCCAGTGAATTCTGCCCAGTGACAGGGGAGGGACTTAGTCCAAGGTTTTCAATAGGACAGTCAAGATATTTGGATATCAGTGAAGAGGTGTTCAAAGGCTTACATGCAATTAGAGAACTCAGTGATTTGATGAAAGGGTGAGAGAGATGTTAGGGATACCTCAGTTAGCTGTATTGTTGTGAAGGCAACTGAACTGCACAGATTTTGTTTAGTGGACTCAGTGACGAGTCAAGAGCAGTTGGATGGGCCTATGCTGTTCTAATTTAGGTAGAGGTTAGAGGAATTAGACATGAAAGAGTCAGTACTCAAAAGAAGTCTTGGGTTTCTGAGAAAGTAGGAAAGTGTGTTGGGGAAGCTGCAAGAGACTTGGAAGAAGAGTACAAGCATTAATATTGCAGTGCAACTGGTGTATGTAAAGTTCACAAGCATTACTTGCTTAATGCAACTAAGCAAAACTGGAACCGAGGGCTTGGGAGAGGAGAGGGTACTGGCTTGGTGAAGTTAGTTGTAGATGAACAGCTGGGATTATACTTCTGAGGGGGCATATTTTCAGAGTCTGGGGAGCTTGCATCAGGAAAGGAGAGTGATTGACCAGAATGTGAGCAGTCATTCAGGCAGTCTATGACAGAACAGCTCACAAAATGGAATTTCAAGGCCAAATTGGCAAAAGTGATGAATTGTGATTGCTTGGGAAGTTTAATGAGATTTGATAACCCACTGTATTATTTAAAACTCTGGACTCTTGTGGCTTTATTCACTTAGCAATTCCCCTGGATTCCACCCTGTGTCTACATTAAAGTTACTGGTCTGGTCCCAAGCCAGATTGTAACATGAATTTGATGGTCTAGTCCAAGATTGGAACAAGTTTTCTCCAAAAACTGTTAGAATTTGTAAAATTAGTGATCAAAAAATACCTAAAAACACAATTTTCTTTGATACCCCATGGGGAATTAAATCCATGATTATATTAGAAATTGAGTTTCAATTCTGGAGACTTCAGGAAATCCTGAAGTGTTGGCAACCCTGTTCACTGGCCACATTTTAGCATCCCATTTTCAAACTGGACAACTCTCTCTCCTGATGCTGCCACAGGGAATGTGTGGGCAAGATAAGTGAGTCTTTAACAGTCTTACAGTTCGCCTGCACTGCCCTCACAGCTCTTAGTTCTGTTCCCCAGCTAACTTGATCTCTCAGCACTGCTACTCTCTTCATTTTCGCAAGTCTTGAATGTTTGCCACTTTGGTGAGTATGCCAGGAAACTTTGAATCTGGGTGTGTAATTGAGCGCAGATACCCTGTGCGATCAGCTGTGCTTTTAGCAAGTGACAAAACATAGTAATTATAGTTACAGGAGAAATACTTCCAAAACTGGTTTGATGAGAGCATAGCCTTTTCCAGTATTTACAAGTACATTAATTATGTTAATCTGATCATCACTGTTCAGATGGATGTTGATAAATACAATGAGAAGCCTTACAACATTAACTCTACTAAACAAAGACAATTCATTTTTTAGCATCATTGAATCATACATTGGAGGAGGCCATTCAGCCCATCATGTCTGTGTTGACTTTTTGAAAGCATTGTCCAATTAATCCTACATTCTTACAAATATTTCCCCTTTAGATGCTTCCTCCCCCTTCCCCCAATTCCATTTTACCTCTCTTCCCCTCTGCCTACAAAAGTGGTCATTCTGTCCAGTTAGTTAGAGGAGGTATTTTTACCATGCAATCCTTCTGTTGCACCTTCAGCAGAGCATCTTTCCCGCTCCCCAACTTGCTATTCTGAATCCTTCCCCCTACTGCCTGTTTTTTCATTGTTAATCAGCTGTAAACCTCAGTGAGCAGCAGTGGCAAACAGAGGATTTTATAAACAATCAGTGGCAAGTTCTGGGAAAGGTCAGAGTACTTAACAATCCCTACAGAAAGAATTGTCTAGACTGCTCAGTCTGCACTGTCTTTACCCACCTATTTAATCCCCTCCCACAGCTCCACGTACACTGTTCCCCAATCACTGACTCTACCCATTGTTTTGACCTCTGTAATATTCTCGCCATTGACCTTAGTCTTTCATCAGAGTTTTGCACTAAAATTAGATATTTCTTAAATAGCTGAGTTTAACAATATTTGAGTCAGCATTTGACTTTGTGTTGGTGCGTTTAACTAAAGCTGCTGTGATTTGCAGAATACACAGAGCGAAATTGAGAAGCTGAAGTCACAGTATCGGCAACAAGCCAAAGAGATGAACGCAGCAAAGCGGAAGTTCCAGGAGGCCAGTAAAGGTGAGGATCACGATAAGAAACAGGAGAAAGTACTAGAAACCAGACAGGTAAAGCACACATGGAACACTATATTGCAAGCTCAGACAGTCAAGTCATTCACACCTCAGGACACTACTCCTTAAAAACAATCTCTGTCACTAAGCTTTTAGCCACCTGCCCCAAACTGACTTGGGCTGAATCTGAGTTTTTTGAGGATTTGTTGCCACGAGGCCAAGCAGGTTCTCACTATATCTTACCAAATACACCTCATTAATTATCTACCAAATCCATATGGTGTTTCTCACACTCAATATGCACCTCATCTTACCGTGCGTCCTTCCCAGAATAACTCACCGCTCAGCAGATACCTGCCGAAAGTCCGGCTTTACTTGTCCCCACACCGTCTTGGGCACCTGTACAAGCACTGTCAGTATGGAGCTGCCCTGCACGGATGTTCACGTTTGCCTTGGCCGTGACAGAGAGGGGAAAATTGGCACCCCACCTTATGGGCATGTTTTTGGAGGTCCTGCTGGATGGGGTGATTTCAGCGTGGGACGTTCTCCTCCTCCAGGACTAGTAGTGGAGGCCACAATACCAGACAATGCCAGCCTTGCCTGAGATTGACGCCCAGGTTAAAGAACTCTCAGCCATCTCTGAAGGAATGCTTAGTAATGTTGGAAGAACATCAATATCCTTCTCCATTCCACCAGGGTAAGTGCCACCATCTTTACCCTGCTGGCTCACACTCATTTTATCTCAGCTACAGTACCCATCTCCAACCAAGGCTCATGGTCTACCACTCTCTGTGTTGCCTGCAACATCTTCCTCACTTGATCTCACCGACTCCAACCCTGACATCACCACCCCTGCATGCCCTCTGCACTGCCGATTCACTCACTCCGGACACCACCTCACCTGCACCAACAATAATAGCTATGTCATGCATTTTCACTCCTTTAATACCTACCTCTCCCTTATATCATGAAGAAAACAGCCCACAACAGGGCAGAAAGAGTCAAGACAGGTGGTGGGCTGCCTGGCATTCAGCTCCTCACCCTTTGAGGCAAGCATCTGACTGTGACTGATCCAGGCAGGTCCTGGACTGATAGTGGAGGCTGTCCTTGACTTACTGTGCAGGAAACCCTGAGTGAAGGCTATACTCTTTAACTTGACTGAGACCTGCTGACAACTATGACAAGCTTCCTGGCTTTGTGTTTGTGCTGAACAGCAAGCCAAGTCAGCAGTAATATGAAATAAAAACAGAACTGCTGTAGAAACTTAGCAAATCTGGTGCATCTATAGGAAGAAAGCAGAGTTAACGTTTTGGGTCCAGTGACTCTTCTTCTGAACCTGATTCATTAACTCCTGCTTTCTCTCCACAGATGCTACCAGACCAGCTGAGCTTTTCCAGCTATTTCTGATTTTGTTTCTGATTTTTAGTATCAGTACTTTGTTAGTTTTTTATTTGCAGCAGTAGTATGAGTCTGGTTTCTCTAAATAAGGAGGTAAATCACAAAAAGACAAAGGAAAACAATGTAAGGCAATAATGCTGCGAGCATCCAGTGTCTATTGCAAATCTCTCTCCTCGCACCTTAAAAATGTGCCCCCTGGTCTTGAAATCCCCTATCCTAGGGAAAAGACAAGTACCATTGACTCCATCTATATCTCTCATTATTTTATAAACTTCTATCAGGTCACCTGTCAACCTCCTATGCTGCAGTGAAAAATGTCCCAGCCTATCCAACCTTTCTTTATAACTCAAACCTTCCATAACCGACAACATCCTGGTAAATCTCTTCTGAACTCTCTCCAGCTTAATAATATCTTTCCTCTAACTAGGCAACCAGAACTGGAAACAGTATTCCAGAAGAGGCCTCACCAATGTCCTGTACAACCCTGACATGACTTCTCAACTCCTACACTCAAAGGTCTGAGCAATGAAGGCAATCATGCCAAATGCCTTTTTAACCACTCTGTCTATATGTGATGCAAACTTCAAGGAATTATGTACCTGCACTCCTAGGTCCCTCTGTTCTACAACAGTACCCAAGGCCCTACTATTAATTGTATAAGCCCTACCTTTTGTTATACCAAAGTGCAATATCTCACATTTATCCAGATTGAACTGCATCTGCCATTTTTTAGCTCATTGACCCATTTGATCAAGATCCTCTTGTAATCTTAGAAAACCTTCTTCACTGTCTACTATGCCACCAATTTTGGTGTCATTTGCAAACTTACTAACCATGCCTTCTATAGTCTCATCCAAATCATTTATATAAATGACAAACAAAATAGGATCCAGAACCAATCCTTGTGGAACATTGCTGGTCACAGGCTTCCAGTCCAAATAGCAACCCTCTACTATTACTCTGTCTCCTGCTGTTAAGCCAATTATGTGTCTAATTGGCAAGCTAACCCTGAATCCCATGTGACTGAACTTTACTAATTAGTCTACCATGCAGAAACTTTTGTCCTATCATCCAATTGGAAATACTGAATGACAAGCCTCACTCATTTTGATATCCCTCAACTCAGAAAGCTCAATAATTACCTTCAAAAATTTCTGATTGTATGAATTTCTGTTTAATTCCAGACAAAGACCGGGACAGAATGAGGGACAAATATGTCAAAACGACCATGAAGATGCACCTACTCCACAATCAGTACATACTTGCTCTCAGATCTGCAGAGGCCCATCACCAGCACTATTACCACCATGGTTTGCCAGGACTGCTCAACAGTCTGCAAGAACTGCATGAAGAGATGGTTTACATTCTGTAAGTACCTTGGCTTGATCCTTGGTACAGGTCACTTGTTTGGATTCATTGTTAGAAGCGATGAGTTGAGCCTCAGATTCTGAACTAAAGAAACCTAAGTCAATTGGGATGAATTATGTTGATGGAATGTGTGATGGACTGGAGGGGAACATTCCAAGAAACGCTGACCCTGGTAGAATCTGTGAAACACTCACTGTTTGCATTATTTCTTGTTTATCTGCTGGTTTTAATATTTGACCCTCTTCCAGTTAATTTCCATACTTATTTAGAGGTGGCTTTCCTGAGATGAATTTGAAGTTTGAGTAAAGAGATCTATTAATGTTCAAAGTTAACATTAGTCTTTGTGGGTGTTTCTCTAGCTGTCCCATTTCCTTTACAACACGTTGCTTGCTGCATTTTCAAAACTATTGAGTTCTTCCACTTGACGATTTGATATGGTCACTTCCAGTCATGTTTTTTTGCATCAGTCAATGTGTCATAGTGACACTGCGGAAACATTGAACACAACCTCCTTTTCTCATAGTACAGAACTTGAGTATTACTGACATGTTAAAATCTTTCATCTTTTACTCATCAAAATATTTCACAAGAATACTAATTTAAGGAGAAGACTGATGTTTATATACTGCATGAGAGGAGGGTGCTGATTGGTTGGACTCTGGTAGAGGTGTTCCCATGGAGAAAGCACCCACTAATGCTGACTGACCATTAACGACCAGGATGTTTTAAATTTCAAGCCAGGCAGGCCTAGTGGGGCTCCCATGGCAACATCACCTATTTGGGCATTAAAAGTATCAACTGTGATTTGCTGAATTCATAAGTTCAACAAACATGAATTCACACCATGGAGGCTGTCTAAATAGACATGAATATAGTGCTGCACTGCAAATGTCTTTGGCTTCTTTGAATGGTATGTTGATGAATAGGCAAACAATGTCAAATAAGCACATGGAGAACTGCATTGCTATCAACATGTAAGTCCTTTGTGGTCTTCGCAAATATATTTTGTTGAATTCCACCAGAAACATGACTTATATGGGATGACATCTATCCTTCTACCTCTTGCATATTTCCAATATGTATTTGAATCCACAGCTGTAAGAATTTCCTTGTATGTCGTCTTAATCTCCATCCTGCGCTCAAATGTTTTTAAATGGAACAGTGAAATGAGTTCCCTTCCCTTGAATTTCTAGTTGAGAAAACAGCCGGAGGCTACTAATGACCACCACAAAAATACTTTCACTGTCAGTTCACACATTGGGATTCCTACAGTTCCACACATATCAACTTACTTACCAGAAAACTTGTGAATAGGTCCTGAACCATTTGTTCAGTGTACACTTTATGTTCAATTACAGCTTATCAAAGCTATTCTGCAGGATAATGGTTATTGTGAACATATCGTTTTTTGCCGTATATCGCGCAAACTCATACAAGGTCATAAGGCGGTCACTCTGTTTCTGTAAATTGCCCAGCCTACCTCAAATTATCCCTCAAATTAATTAAGGCATCTAAAAAGCTTGAGCAACAGGTGAAGCTAGCTGTTTCAAGCTACTATAATACAGTAGCAACATGAGTGGTGTTCACCACTAAAAGGATGTTGATGACAAGCAAAACAAATTCTTTCTAACACACAAACGTGTAATGTGGTAAAGGAATATTAGTTCCAATGTGATGCCAGGTATGTGGATTATGTCCCAGAGACTGGCAGATCATATCAAACAGCATATGCCTTCACTGTTTGCAACAAGCAAGGCATTGACCACACCCACCCATCCCATGCTTGTAAAACTGGTAACAGTTTCTGACATTAGATGTGTTTCTGCGATTGGACAAGATTTGCTGGATAATCCTAAATCTGTAAGGAATTACGCAGAAAACCAATTTAGGATTGTCAGATGGGCTTGCAGTATGGCACATTTGTGTGTACTGGAAACTATATATTAATACACAGGGTGTTGTTCTTGCAGACAGAAAGAACATGTACACACACTGCGCACCTGTTTCAGTTCAGTGAATGAGGTGACAGCTATTCACTGGTTCAATTCTCAAGGAAAAACCTGATCAATCAGTGTTAGTATTGCTAGTTTAAAATTTAAACACTACTGGCTTTTAACTGTCAATCAGCATTAATAGATTCATTCTCCATGGCATCACCTCCACAATTCACTTGGAAACCATTTGGCGTTGTTGCCTCATGCAGTAGAAATGTTGGTTTCTTCCTTGAACTTGTGAAATGTCCTGATGAGTGCAACACAAAACCTTTGACAAAATGTGTCCTTTTCCGAGTAATATGAAAAAAAAGCCGTGAAAATGATACTGTGTTGATCTCAACTGAACCAGTGTTCATATTGCAAGAAGGGCCTGAACACCAATCCCAACCTCTGTTAGGTTAACTTATCTCATCAGATTTGAATCATTCCTAAGTGGCTCAGCTCAATTATTAAAATAAACATCAGCTCAGCAGTAGTTAAAAGATAAACTCAAGTTAGAGATATTTTAATACTTCAATACAGGTCAGTGACATAGTTGATTTATTGAATATGGGGGGGGACATTACAGTCTGTACTTAAATCTTCCCAGTATTGGAACTGGGAGCACCTTTCAGGAAATTAACTTATTCTAAAACAAGTGCTAATATGTTAATAACATGATGTACAACATAAAACTGACATCAGGAGTCACATTCTTATAAGACTCTGAGAAGAAGATGGAATACAGAACTGTATTGCAAAGACCAGTAATAGTGCTTTAATTAAAGAGTTGCTGTAATTCCTGGGAGTTGGCCTATAGCTATTCTTGGGTAAGGCAGAGACCGAGAAACAGCATATCCAAAACGAAGACAAGACAGGGAGTCCAAAACCAGAGGATAAACCAAGGTGAGAGGAGAAAGATTTAAAAAGAACCTGAAGGACAACTTTTTCACATAGCGGGAACAAGCTGCCAGAGGAAGTGGTGGAGGCAGATACAATTACAACATTTAAAAGACATCTGGATGGTCACATGGATAGGAAGGGTTTAGAGGAATATGGGCTAAATGCTGGCAAATGGGACTAGGTGAGATTGAGATGTCAGATCAGCATGGATAAGTTGGACCAAATGGTCTATTTCCATGCAAAACCCAAACCTCTTACTAGTCTAACCCATAAAGACAGAGCAGTTACAGGTTGTATCAGTAAAGACAGATCAAATCAGAAATTGTGTGCGCTTTCTGGAGTGTCATTTTTCAGTGTGTTATGGCCAGTGCTGGGGGTGTGCAAATGGAAAGAACTCTTTTGAGCTTTATGCAATTCACATGAGAATGTAGCTGCTTGCTCACTGCAACATTCTCTGTCAAACTGCTCATTATAATGAACCCAATCACACAGCTCCCTCTGCTGTACCATCATGACATTTCCATTTTCCTTAACGGCATTCCCATCATTACGATTCATTTTGTGCTGTTGGCCCCTCCTCCCTGCATCAAATCAGATAGCAAATGATCATCCACAGGTTTCCTTAGCTAGGGAGGTTGATTGTACTGTGTGTGTGTCTGAGTGCGTGCATTTTTGCGTGTTGTGTGCCTGGCTGTGAATATGTATGAGTTCATGGATGTTGTTTTATACATGTAGGTGATTGTGCGATGTGTGTATGTGTTGAAGAGGGTTGTTTAGGCAAGTTGCTGTACAGCTGTATTGCAATGCAGAGTGACACCAACAGTGTGAGTTTAACTCCTATACTGGCTGAAATTAGCATGAAGTTCTCATCTTTGCCCTTTGCCTGAGGCATGGTGATCCTCAGGTTAAACCACTACCAGCTGACTCTATTGAATGAAAGTAGCCTATGGCTCAATAAGACTTTGACCACTTTATCTATGTGTGTATATACATATGTGTGGTATCTCTGTTGGGGTGTATGTTGATTATGTGCTGTGTGTGTGTGTGTATACATATTTGCTTTGGGTGGTGTGTGTTGTGTGAGGATATTTGGGAATTATGTGTATTTTAGGTTATGAGAGTGGGTGTGTGATTTGCATGTCTGAAGTCAGGGTAAAACTAATCGATTTTATCTAGCTCAAATTTTCATACACTGGAATGCAAATTTATGAGAATTCTTTGAGGAGGTAACAAGCAGGATAGATAAAGGGGAACCAATAGATGCAATATGTTTGGATTTCTGGAAGGCATTTGATGAGGTACTGTGTATATGGCTACTTAATAAGATAAAAACCATGAGTTGTATATTAGCATGGATACAGGATTGGCTAACTAATGGACACAGAATTGGATAGAAGGGGCATTTTCAAGATGGCAACCTGTAACTAGCTGAGTGCTAACAGGATCTGTGCTGGGGACAAAATTATTCACAAAATATTTGAATAACTTGGTCAAGCTTTTAAAAAAAAAGGTAAAGTCACCACTGTCCCCCAGAGGATCATAGGACTGCTTTCTCATTAGAGAGAGATGATTTGGTGATGAGTTTAACTTGATGGTCACAACGCCTCAGTCAAGGGGCAAGGTTGAGAAGATGGGGCCTTCATTAAAAATCTATCTCAGCCTGGGATATATTTAACAACTGAGCTTCCATAGCCCTCTGCAGTAGAGTATTCTACAGATTCACTGCCTTCTAAGAGAAGAAATTCCTCCTCATCTCTGTCCTAACTTGGTGATCCCTTACTCAGATTATACCCTCCAGTCCTGGACTCAACCACAAGGAAAAGCAAACTCATGGTAACCTCAGCAAGTATAGGAATTTAACCCACACTGTTGGCATCACTGCACCACAAACCAGCTGTCCAGTCAACTTGAGGTATCAGCCCCCTACTTAGCTAACCAACTTGGATGAGGAAAGTGAATATACAATCACCAAGTTTGCAAAAATAAGTGGGAAAGCAAGTGCTGAGGGTGATACAAGCAATGTGCAAGAGATTATATACAGGCTAAGTGATTCAGCAAACACTTGGCACATGGAATATAATGTGGGAAAATGTGAGATTATGCAAATTGGCAGGAAGAAAAGAGGAGCTGAATATTATTTAAATGGAGGAAGAGTGTAGAAAGCTGTAGCAAGAAAGATTTGGAAGTCCTCAAATTAATGGAAGCATGAATCACAAAAAGCTAGCATCCAAGTTCTGCAGGTAATGGGGAAGGCAAATGGAATGTTTGCCTTCATTTCAGAGAGAATGGAGCATGAAACTATACAAGGAACTAGTTAGACACACTTAGAATAATTTGAACTTTTTTTTGTCTCCTTATTTAAAGATTGGAGGTTATACAGAGAACGTTCACTGAACAGCTATGAAAGGAGAGGGTTGAGTAGGTTAGGCTTCTACGCATTAGAGGTTAGAAGAATAAAAGACAATCTTACTGAAATTTTAAATTTTTACAGGGCTTGACAGCGTAGATCTGGGGAGTTTGCTTTTCCTTGTGGTTGAGTCCAGGACTGGAGGGTATAATCTGAGTAAGGGATCACCAAGTTAGGACAGAGATGAGGAGGAATTTCTTCTCTTAGAAGGCAGTGAATCTGTAGAATACTCTACTGCAGAGGGCTATGGAAGCTCAGTTGTTAAATATATCCCAGGCTGAGATAGATTTTTAATCAGTAAAAGAATCGAGGATTATGGGGAAAAGGCAGGAAAGTGAAATTATACAGCATACAGCATGGAAACAGACCCTTCGGTCCAACCAGCCCATGCCCAACTAAACTATTCCCACCTGCCTGCTCCTGGCCCATATCCCTCCAAACCCTTTCTATTCATGTATTTATCCAAATGTCTTTTAAACGTTGTAACTGTACCACTTCCTCAGGAAGTTCATTCCATATGTGAACTACCCTCTGTGTTTAAAAAAAAAATTGGCCCTCATGTCTTTTTCTAAATCTCTCTCCTCGCACCTTAAAAATGTGCCCCCTAGTCTTGAAATCCCCCCTCCCAGGGAAAAAAACAACTACCATTAACTCCATCTATATTTCTCATTATTTTATATAACTTCCATCAGGTTGCCTCTAAACCTCCTATGCTTCAGTGAAAAAAGTCCCAGCCTATCCAGCCTTTCTTTATAACTCAAACCTTCCATAACTGGTAACATCCTGGTAAATCTTTTCTGAACCCTCTCCAGCTTAATCATATCTTTCCTATAACTGGGCGACCAGAACTGGACATAATATTCCAGAAGAGGGGACAATACAGTATGGAGCTGGAGGATCACAACAGGCCAGGCAACATCAGAGGAGCAGGAAAGTTGACGTTTCGGTTCAGGACCCTTCCTCCAGCTCCATACTGTGTTGTCTCTGACTCTAGCATCTGCAATTTTTGCTACCTCATTCCAGAAGAGGCCTCACCAATGTCTCGTGCCACCTCAACATGACTTCCCAACTCCTATACTCAAAGGACTGAGCAATAAAGGCAAGCGTGCCAAATGCTTTTTTGACCACTCTGTCTATATGTGATGCAAACTTCCAAAGAATTATGTACCTGCACCTCTAGGTCCCTCTGTTCTACAACACTATCCGAAGCCCTACCATTAATTTATAAACCCTACCCCTATTTGTACCAAAATGTTGAGGATTAGTAGATCAGCTACAATCTCATTGAATGGTGGAGCAGACTCGATGGGCTAAATGGTCTACTTCTGTTGCCATGTCTATGGTCTCACGGTCCCTATCTAGTGAATTGTAAGGAGAGGGGGAGCACTTACAAAGAATCAAAGTGGTGTGATTTGGTACAGAAATAGGTGTCATACAATCACAGAAGACTCACAGGTATAGACATGGCCATTATCACATGTGAAACAGCCAAATGAGCCATCTTGCTTAATCTTCCTTGGGTCTGTAGCCTTGCAGGTTACAGCATTTGAAATCTGGACATCTTTTGAATGTTCATAGTTTCTATCTCTCCTGTACTTTTGGGCAGTAAGTTTCAGCCTTTCATCGCTCTGTGGGTGAAAAAAATTTATCTCCCCTCTAATCCTTCTACCAAATATTTTAAATGTAAGACCCCTAGTTACTGACCTCTCTAATAGGTAAATAGGCCCTTTTCATTCACTTTATCCAAGTTATACATTTATACGTCATAGTTGAATATTCAGGCTTGTTGCATTTGCTGGAACTAAGTCTCAGGAGGAGTCCATAATATATGACCCAGATGAATTTCTACCCCAAAATTTTGGCCAGGACCTAAATTTAAATGGGTTAGCAGTTGGGGTTTATTGGCAAAAGTTTTGCAATAGGGAAAGATGTTGTGGTAGTTTGAACCCTGTTGGAATATCTTTGAACAGATAACAATGCACTTACTGTATTCTGTTCCCATTGTTACCCACAGGAAAGAGATTTTGCAGGAATATCAGGAGATCAGCAGCCTGATCCAGGAGGAAGTGGTGACTGTTCATCGGGAGATCAGTGATGCTATTGAGGCCATCGACCCACGCAAAGAATATGACAGCTTCATTGAGCAAAACAGGTTTGAGCTTCTAGTGCATACAATTCTCAGTGCTCGCATCTCTGATTTGATACAGCTACAAAACTTTGTTCCCAATACCTCCAATATTTACAGTAATATACATGCTGTGAAAATAATGCTTTTCAGGAGCTTCCTCACTCCTCTCCTGAAGACAATGACTGGGTGTACTAGTCTCTGCTCTCCAGTAGTTTTCTTAGTGACTCCACTTCACCTGACAGTCACGACAGTTATTGTCAGTGCTATTTGACCACAGAAATCATGGTTGCTCAGACTAACATCCACATATAGGGTTCCCGTAGCCATTGTAAGCAAGATCCCTGGCTGATTTTCATTCTTCTCCACAATTCAATCCAATTGAACTGCTGTGGTCACTGTTAACTCCACTGCCCTCATTGACTAAGAATCTGATTCTGGTATCTTTGCGGTCCAAATAGCTCAACTCCACACCCGGCGAGAACTCCAAAAATGATTCACTTCTGAACAAGACCTGCCGTCACTTTGTTCCTTCCTGAATCCTTTTTTTGCCCCCAACGGACAGGTCTGTGGCTGAGGTCCCACCACTTGCCAGCTTTGACACTAGCCTCCTTGAGGACTTGGACAATTTGCAGGTGGGAGAGTTGGAGCTCAACGATTTGACCATTGAATCAATGCAACACAGGTAAGTGGCTTTCCAGCACTATTCTGCATCTGTTAGCGTGTGTGCATTGTCAGTGTTGGTACCTGTGTGCAAACAAGTGCTTCCAAATTTGGTGTGAGCACAGGTACTATGTGTATACATGCAAACATGATGTGGGTGTGTGTGCACATGCACGTGCCTGTAGATGTTTTTAGTCACCCTATTCAGATATGCAATGACACACCTCTTGAGCAGGTGGGGCTTAAACCTGGCCTTCTGGCCCAGAGGGAGGGGCACTACCACTGCCCCTCAAGAGCCCTGAAAACAGGCGGTCTCCCATCCAAATACTACACATGCCTGAGTCTGCTTAGCTTCCAAGATCAGATGTGATTCTGACTAGTAAGCCAGAGGCTAAACATATTATATGTGATAGAATTACCAAAGTATTCTGTTGTAGATATTTTTAAATCAATCTATTCAAACTTGTTATGATACATCTCTGGGACAGATTGAACTTGAACCTGCTCCTCCTCACAATAGAACAATAACAAATAACAGCACAATTTTCATATTCCTGGTAGGTACTGTACAGATTTATTTTCTTTATGCCCATAGTCTAACATCTCTGGAGGAAGAGTTGCAATCTCTGAAAGAAACCATTGATAACCGACAGGCAACCATCAGACAGATCTCCACAGAAATAACAGCAGAGGAGCAATCAAGTGGCTGTAGATCACGGTGAGAAAGTCACATGTACTGATGAGCAGGTGGAAGAGTGCAATTAAGTAGAAGATCAGCATGATCGTGCTGAATGCTGGAGGAGTTTTGAGGGGTCAAATAGCTTACTCCTGGTCCTGTTCCTTATATATCTTTTTGTTACTGATGTCTCTTTTTTTTCTATTAAATGCTTTTCAATTGGTCAATTGCAGTGTTTACATCTTCAGCAAGAAATGTGCTTTGGAGGAGAGCAGACAACAGGTCCAGGTCCTTCTGTGCAACAAGGGGAGGCTGGAGGCACAGCGTCTGATTCTGGTGCAGAAGCTGAAAGAGCTGGGAGATAAGGAGCCTCCACCAGCACTGCAGTTGGAGGAGGACAGATATTCCAACTCCTCAGTTGTGAGTTTCGATTGCCATCTACATGGAGAAAAAAGTTTGAATTTCCTTGCAGTAATTATGTGTCTTCGAAATAACTCAAAATAACTCAGCACAATTTACAGCCAATCAGTTACTTGTGGAGTGCAAGTTTCTCTTTATTAAAAATAGTATATTCAGCTACAAATTCCACAGCTCAAAGACTACAAACTGCTATGGCCTAGTTTCTAATGTTCCCCGCCTCTGAAGCGTGGGAATCCACCACTTTCTTTACAGATACTGACAGAACATACTGCATATTTGCAGCATTTCTGAGTTCTGATTTTGTGCTAATCTGTTTATGTTTCTTTGAAAGGGAAAAGATAGTGTCAAAGCCTCATCTTTGGAAGCCCTGAAGACACATTTTTCAGGACTGTTCAAACCAAAGTTCAGTGTAAGTGGCATTTTCCCATGAATTCTGAAACATAAGTTTTTTGGTAGATTTTTCTACACTGAAATGTGACTGAACCAAGGGTAGGTGGTGTTATAAATTGAATAGCGGAACATGGCTTCCTCCTATTCTCATAAGCTTAAGTGGTTGACAATGTACAAAACTGAGTTGTTCAACTTCCCAAATAACCCATTAATCAGCCTGTTCAGGGGGTCATAGAGTCATACAGCATGGAAACAGACCCTTTGGTGCAACTTGTCCATGATGAGCAGGCATCCTAAACTGAACTAGTCCCATTTGCCTGTGTTTGGCCCATATCCCTCTAAACCTTTCCTATTCCTGTACCTGTCCAAATGTCTTTTAAATGTTGTAATTGTACCCACCTCTACCACTTATTTTTGCATTTCATTCCATGCACACACCACCATCTGTGTGAAAAAGTTGCCCGTCAGGTGTCTTTTAAATCTTTCCCCTCTCACCTTAAACTTATGCCCTCTAGTTTTGGACTCTCCTACCCTTGGAAAAAGACCTTAGTTATTCACCTTATCTACGCCCCTCATGATTTCATAAACTTCTATAAGGTCACCCCTCAGCCTCTGATGCTCCAGGGAAAAATGTCCCGGCCTCGCCTTATAACTCAAGCCCTCTGGTCCTGGCAACATCCTTGCAAGTTCTTTTTTGACCTTTCTGGTTAAACAACGTCCTTCCTTTAGCAGGGTGACCAAAATTTTAGATAGTACTCCAAATGTGGCCTTACCAACGTCTGGTACAGTTGTAACATGACATCCTAACTCCTGTACTCAATGCTCTGACTGACGAAGGCAAGTGTGCGAAACGTCGCCTTCACCACCCTGTCTACCTGCAACACCACTTTCAAGGAACTATGAACCTACACCCCTAATTCCCTCTGTTCGACAACAGTCCCCAGAACATTACCATTAACTGTGTAAGTCCTGCCCTGGTTTGCCTTACCAAAATTAAACTTCATCTGACACTTCTCAGTCCATTGGCCCATCTGATCCAGATCTTGTTGTACTCTGAGATAACTCTCTTCACAGTCTGCTGTACCACCAATTTTGGTGTCAACCGCAAACTAATTTACCGTATCTCCTATGTATTCATCCAAATCGTTGACGTAAATGACAAACAACAGTGGACTCAGAACTGATCCTTGCGGCACACCACTGCTCACAGGCCTCCAGTCTGAATAACAACCTTCTACCACCACCCTCTGTATTCAACCATCAAGCCAATTTTGTATCCATTGGTTATCTCTCCCTGGATCCCATGTGATTTAACCTTACTAACCAGTCAACCTTGTCTTCAAATACATTTAGCTGATATTGATTCAGAACCTAAAATGCTAACTGTGAATGGAGCAAATCCAGCCCACTGACCACAGAGAAATCTTGTACAATCCCAAGAGAGTTCAGGCTGACTTTTACCTCCCCATCACCACAAACAACCTCCTCACCCCACCCACACATACACCAGCCACCTACCAGCTCAGGAGCCCTGGGGCAAATGGTTATCATTCCCCTTACTCCCAACCTGCTTCATAATTTTAGTGTTGGTTACATATACATTTATGGGATTATGAGAATTGGAATATGGAAACATCAAGATATTACTCGGTTGCAAATGATTCATCATTTGATTGCTCGGAACTGGAAAGCCAAAATATTAAAAGACACTGTGGTCTACTATATTTGCTATTTGCTATTTACAAAACATCTCGTGACTTTGGACAGCAGTGTCCAAGCAAAGATTTGTGGAGAGAGATATTGCTTTAATTGTTGAGCTAACAGATCTGGAAAACCCAAATGAATCTATGTTCCTATCACTAGCAACAGCCTCTGGACTGAGGTGCTGTGTGTTTTTCAGTGCACACCAGAGGTTTTGGGCATTTGATGAAAATGTTTACAAGGATGCAGTACTGTGTCTGTCTGTCTGTCTGTCTGTCTCTCTCTCAGTCAGTAAGAGTCAGACCTTGAAGCTGAAAGTAGCACTCTATCTTTCAGTGAAGTGGACTGAAAAAAAGCTGAAAGTTTCAAATATCTGGACTCCTAACTGTTTCTTAGCTACATCTGAAATCTAGTCCAAAGACTTTTTTTTATTATTCTGTTACCAATAAATCTTGTTAAAAGGAATTCAAAGGAACTGTAAGAAATCAATTATCTAAATTCACCCCTTGACCTGCAAGGGTGGTGTTTTTGTTTTCTTTTTTGCCTAATATTTTCCCCACCCATAAAAGCTCTGCATTGTCACAGATGTGTCTTTTAGGGATTCAGGGGGACATAATTTAATCGGGTGATAACCAGTTTGTCACTTGTTTAAAAAATGTCTGTCTGTAACAAACAAGTCATTTTTGACTTTGAAAAGCCTGGTGAAAGTCACTTTTGATCTGGTTGATAATAATGAAAAACAATTTGACCATATTTGGTGATTGATCCAGATGTTTTCACTTTGGTATGGCTCATACTTTGGTTGGGTTGGATTTCCAATGCACTCCTCCTACCAGAGTCATAACAGGGTAACTACCCTATTGGGAGTTTACTCCAATCACTAACTTTGCACAAAGCTTTGGGTATGTTGTAAACTGTAATCCTGTGCTTGAAGGCTACTTCCACTCTCTTCCAAAGACACCATTCTGCCCTTTTATTAAATGATCCTAATGGGATTTATGCTCTTCTTAACAGCTCCCTCCCCTCCTGCCAATTGTACCAGCTGTTCAGAAGCCTCTGTGCCAGCAGACCTGGTATCATGGTGCTATTCCCCGCATGGAAACTCAGCAGCTCCTGATCAATGAAGGTGACTTCCTGGTGAGAGAGAGCCAGAACAAAGGAGAGTACGTTCTGTCCGTGATGTCTGCTGGACAGTGCCGCCATTTTATCATTCAACATGTAGATGTAAGTAACAGAACACTGTAGGGCAACTAGGGTGGTGATCTGTAAATTCCCCTAGAACTTTTTCTTCCCAATGGCTGATGTTAAGTAGTTGCTTGATCCTTGCTGTATGGTGAATTACTGCAGCTCTGTGGTCGAAAAGTCATGATTGGAATCGAAATTCCTTGCATAGAAGAAACAATCAATTGTGGAATTGGGGTGGAAGATGCCTACTCCACCAATCCTTTTCCATGCCATTGGGATGTACATGCATACGTGTGCAGTCATTGGGTGAAGACGTGGATGAAAAATGGACTGTTTGGGTGTTTTGTGCCTGTGGAGCTGTCAGCCAGCAGGAGTCAATAGGAGGTGTTATAACTTGGCTGAGCAGTTTGAGATGCTGGATTTTAGTTCCTCTGTAGAGATGTGGCTTTGTATTCCAACGCTGCCAAATTCATCAATCACCGTTAGTGCATGTCAATCGCATAATCTGAAGGCTGAGAGTTCAATTCTTACTTGGGGCACAGAAATTTTTATCAAGGAGATCACAGGTTATTGGAGATAGGTGATAATGTGCAGTATTTAAATCAGCCGTTATCAATTTGAACGGAGGAACAGTCTTTATGGGCTGAGTGACCAACTCTTGCTCCTAATTTGCATGTTCAAAGTTGGAGTTGAGATGAAATGGACATCTACTTTCAAGAGTAGAGGGAGAGAGAGTGTATTTAGTGAAGAAAAAGAAATATTACTATAGTTAAATAATCAGTAATTGTTCTGTGTCTTTCCTGTTCAACATTAAGTGTGACATAAATGTACAGTAAGCAAAGTTTTCTGCTGTGCATACTACACCATGTGCACTGTATGTTATGAACAAAATGAGTGTTAGCATGCAATTATAGAGATGTCAATGTAGAAACATAGCATTCAGACCGGTCTTCATTGGTATTTAGATTGCAATAGAAAGATTATTACAATCATTTTATGAGTTAATACATACTGTGAAAAAATATTTGACAAATTTCAACTAATGTTTATACACTGAAAAGCGCTGACTTTTGAATATGTGAATGCCATTCTCATCTTCTGTTTCTCAACAGTCCCAGTATCGATTTGATGGTGAGAGCTTTCCCACAATCCCTCTCCTCATTGACAACCTTGTAAAAACGAGACAACCTGTCACCAAGAAAACTGGAGCTGTACTAATCAAACCAATTGTTAAGGTACGGGTTAAAATATCATGCCAATTATAAACTCTTCCCCCCACTCTGTTTACCCTGACCCCCCTCCCCTCCTCTTTCTCTTACCACTCTCTGTCACATTTTCCGTCACTCTTTCTCTTGTATTCTTCCCGCTCATGTGCTCTCTGTGTCTGTCTCTCCTATGCTTTCTCTGTCACAATTTTTCGCTGGTACGCTCTCTCATGCTCTCATGATCATATTTTTTTATCCAACCACCTCCTGGGCTTTGTCTCATGCTCGCATGCTCTCTCTTTCTCATTTTCATTTGTCCTGGATCTGTTGCTTTCTCACATTTAACCTCCTTCTCATCGTAAATACATCTCTCTCACTAATTCTGTCCCTGTCTCTATTTCTCAAAGAACACTCTCCTTCTCTCACAATGTCCATTCCTCACTCTTTCTCTTGTTCTCTGTCCTTTCCCTTCAGTCTTGCAGTAATGTACCTTACTAGTTATAATCATTTAGAACTTTCCACATTAAATGAAGAGATAAAGGAACTGTCTGGTGTAGCAGTCAGCCAAACACACACACAACTTCCTGATTTGCTTAACTCTGCACAGAGGTAAGTGATCTCAATTTGGACTAATGGTACTGAATGGAGATTACAATTGGTTTAAATGATCCTGCATTAGGAACAAGAATAATCTCACAGTGGCCCCACTCCTAATCATTGTCTTACAACAGTAACTTGGGCAAAATGTTATGGTCTTTGCAACTGACAAATTTGGAGATCCTCACTGCTTAATCTTCCATATAAACACTTGAGTAAAGCACAGGAGTAACAACAGCTGGGACCTCTGCACTGATGTACATTTTGTTACAGGATAAATGGGTACTGGACCATGAAGATGTCCTGATAGGAGATCGCATCGGGCGAGTAAGTATCTACATGACTGATAATACTTACAGAATCCCATTCTCCTCAGCTCCTCCATGGTCAAACTGTATAAAATTGATGTGTGTCTTCCTTTCCCAAAAGGTCAGCTACAAATTAATGCATAGCTTTACAGATAAGGAAAGACCCAACAATGATCCCACAGTTGAAATGCCTGCTGCTGCTGCTCTTTGTCCAGCTTCACACATTGGTACTTGGGTGAAGAGAACTGTTGTTTTGTACGGAGCTGTCATGTACACGCACTTGTGCCCCTGCACACTCTCTTGATACCTCAGAGACTGCACCATTACGGGGCTGTTTGGAAATCATAGGAACAGAGTAGGCCATTCAGTCCCTCAAGCGAGATTATGGCTGATCTATGGCCTAACTCCATATACCTGGTTTTGGCCCATATTCCTTAATACCTTTTGCTTAACAAAATTTTATCCATTTCAGATTTAAAATTAACAACTGATCTAGCAAGCACTATCATTTGTGGCAGAGAGTTCCAAACATCTACCAAGCTTCTTAACATCTCTCCTGAATGGTCTGACCCTAATTCTCAGACTATAATTCTTAGTTCTAGAATCTCCAGCCAGTGGAAATAGTTTATCTTTATCTACTTTTTCTTAATATCCTGAAGACTGAAAAAGGAATAAGTTGTGTAATCTTTCCTCATAACTTAGCCCCTGAAGTCCAGGTATCATTCTTGTAAACCTACACTGTCCTCCCTCCAAGGCCAATATATCCTTCCTACGGCGTGGGACCCAGATCTGCTCTTAGACCCCACTTGGAGTACTAACTGAAGTTATGTATAACTGCAGCATAACTTCTGCATCCTTGTACTCCAGTCCCCGAGATGTGAAGGCCAGCATTCCATCAGCTTTCTTGATTACTTTCTGCACCTGTTTATGACATTTTAAAGATCTATGCACTTAAAGCCTTAAGTCTGTTTGGACATCTACCGTATTTAACATTATACCATATAGAAAGCATCCTGATCTATCCTTTAATGGTCCAAAATGAATAATCTCTCACTTACACTGACTGCCATTGTCTTGCACAATCACTTTAACTATCGATGTCTCTGTGTAATTTTATATTGTCACTTACACGGTCTACAATGCCACCTAATTTTGTTACATCAGCAAATTTAGATATGATTTTCTATGCCATTATTTAAATCATTAATAAATAATGTGAATTATCGAGACCCTAACTCAGATGTAGGACAAGGATCACATCCTGCCAATATGAGTAACTACCCATTTTCCCTATTTTCTGTTGCCTGCCATTCAACCAATTTCCCAGCCATGTCAGTAATTTACTCTTAATTCCATGGGCTTCTATCTTTGTTAACAATCACTTATGTGGGACTTTATCAAATGCATTCTGGAAATCCATATAAACAACATCTATAGATATTCCCTTGTCTATTACCTTAGTCACCTCTTCAAACACTTCAGTGAGGTTTGGAGGCATAACCTACCTGTCAAGAATCCTTGCTGGCTCAACCTGATTAATTAAAAATTTCAAAGTGTTCAGTTACCCATTGATTATAGACTCCAACAATTTCCCCACCACAGACATTAGACTTACTGGTCTGTAATTCCTTCAATTTCCTGTTTCATTCTTCTTTTTAAAAAAAGTGGCATGTGTGCAATTTTCCAATCCAGAGGGATGACTTCTGTATCTAGGGAACTCTGAAAGATTATAGTTAGGGTGTCTACAATGTGCTCCCCTAGTTCCTTTAACATCTCTGATGGAAACCGTCGGGTCCTGGGGATTTGTCACTCTTTAATTCCATTAACTTCCTCATTATCGATATTTTATTTTATTTAATTTTATTCAGTCCCTGTTCCTGATCCACTATTAATTTATACAGGATTTCCGGCAAGCTATCCTTCTTTTCTACTGTAAATACTGAAGCAAAGTAATTATTCATTATGTCGGCCATTTTCCCACAGTCACGGACAATATATTCACTTTCTTTAGTGAGTCAACATTGCTCCTGACCACCTGCTTTTCCTTGACTATCCTCCATGACTTGATCTCATCTTGAAACCCTGCTGTCGCATATCCTAATACGCACCATATTCCCTTCTCCCATCATCCCTGTGGTCTCTGACCTGCACTGACTCTGAGTCAGGATCCTCAATATTAAAATTCCCATCCTTTTTTTCAATCTGTCCATGGTTTCATCTGTCTCGCTAACCTCCTCCAATCCCTCAACTCTCTGAGATCTTTGCACTCATTGGCAGGTATACCATCAGTAGTCTGAGCCCCTCAAGTTCCGTCCTTTAACCTCATCTCCTCCTCTAAATTGCTCTTTAAAACCTACTTCTGTGACAAACATGTTATACCCATAAGAATGCCTCTTTATGTGGCTCATATATTAAATTTTGTCTCATAACAATCCTGGGGGAATTTTTACTGCTTTTAAAGTGTGATCTAAATGCAAACCATTCTTGTTAGTGGAATGGACGTTGCTGCCTCTGAATGCATTATTTTAGGTGGTGGTGGAAGGAAGCGTGAGTGGTGGGTGTTGATGGCTTTCACGCATCTTTCATCAGCCATAACAAATAGCACCAGAAGTAGAGCATTCGGCCCCATGACGCTGTTCTGTCATTCAATAAAATCATAGCAGTAATGCCTGTTTCCTACCTGTCCACTCTTGATTCACTTGTAAATCAAAAATCTATCTAAAGCAGGCTTGAACATATTGAGTGACCCAGGCTCCATTGTTTTCTGTGGGGGAGAATTCCAAAGATTAGAGAACCAGGGGTTCATTTCTTCAAAATAAGGGATCGCCCATTTAAGACCAAGATAGTGAGAACGTGAATCTTTGGAATTCTCTTCATCAAAAGACAATGGAAACAGATCCCTTGAATGTTTTTAAGGCAGCAGTGTTTAGACTTTTGATGATTAAGGAAACGAAAAAATTGTGAGGACAGGCTGGAATGAGGTGTAATCAGATCAACATTATCTTATTGAATAATGGAGCATGCTTATTTGTAACAACTCTCTTGAGAGATTAAATTTCTTCTTAGCCTCATCTTAAATGGAGGACTCCTATTTTTAAACTGTGCCCTTAATTAAACTAAACTCTTTCTGATGCAGGGTAACTTTGGTGAGGTGTTCAGCGGGAGGATGAGGAATGACAACACTCTGGTGGCTGTGAAGATGTGCCGTGAAAATCTGCCTGCTGATCAGAAGAATAAGTTCTTGATGGAGGCCAGGTCAGTGCTAGTGTAACTACCACAGGATCATAGACTGAACAAACAGTGACACAAACAAAGCCAAAGTGACCAAGCTACTTCCTTGATTGACCCTTCACGCAGTGCAGTTGTCAAAGATGTTACAGTAGTGCCTGATTGAAGATGTTATAGTGACGTTTAAATACATTTTAGAACAAGAATCGCCAATGTGTGTTTACCACCAATGGTTTGGGGCTTTATGGAAGACTGGGTTCAACAGATCAAAGGAATCTTTTACTGTCCAGCACTGAGAGTGACCATTCATTGGTGTCGAGCACTGAGAATGACCATTCACTGTTGCCCAGCAAAAATGTGAGTAATTTGAACTCTTTAATCTGAATGGGAGACTTTGTAAAATCTACCAGATCACTATATAGAGGCAAAATGAAACAGTCTATTTACAGTCATCAAGGGGCCTACAACAAGAATATCTTGATACAAGACCAGACGTTTAGCGGAGGGCACAAGAACCTTCCTTAGACAGAAATGCATAGTTAGTGATTGAAACTGAGACTATGTCAATATTGAAGGATGATGATTGAGAAAAGGAGGAATGAAGGATACACTTGTGACTCAGTAGGTAGCATCCCGGAGTCAGAAACTCTGGGTTCCAGTGCCACTCGAGCACTTGTTGGCCATGAAAGGAGTGTTTGTGAGGTTGACAAGCCCAGGAATACTTCCAACATTTTCCTAATGTTCCTTTAAAGGGAAATTAGTTGTGTGAAGACAAAATATAAACAAACAGTTCTGACTGACAGTTCATTTCTAAAAGCTGTTAAAGAAAACAATCATCTCTTAACATTGTTGCCATAACTTTTTTTCAGAATCTTGAAACAGTATGATCATCCGAACATTGTCAGGCTGATAGGAGTCTGTACTCAGAAACAGCCCATTTACATCGTCATGGAGCTGGTGCAAGGTGAGAAAGTCAGGCACTGGCTAACTACAATAGAAAGTGGAGTAGATAAAGACATTTCGTCCATTTCTCACAGAGATTGTCCACAATCTGCTCCATCACCTCTGACATCATAATGACATATTAGAACACCATTCGACTCTCTCAGCAGTCCAATCTATGCTGAGCAGTCCATATTCAAATGCAACAAAACCTGAACAATATCCAGGTTTGGATTGAAAGCTGCAAAAAACATTTGTGCCACACAACTCCCATGCAATGAATTTCTCCCACAAGAGATAATCTAACCATCACTCCTTAACATTTAATGGCATTGTCATCTCTGAACCCCCACTATCAACATCTTTGGGTTTGCCATTGACCAGAAACTGAACTGGCCTAGTCATATAGTCAGAGGTTAGAAATCTTGCAGCGAGTAACTCACCTCCTGACTCCCCGAAGCCTGCCAATTATCTACAAGGCACAAGTCAAGAGTATGATGGAATACTTCCCATTTGCTTGGATGAGTGCAACTCGAACAACACTCAAGAAGCTTGACACCAAAACAAAGCAGCCCACATGATTGGCACCATATCCACAAACATTCACTAGCTCCTTCACCATCCACAAGATATGCTGCATAAATTCACGAAGGCTCCTTATACAGCACCTTCATTTCTTCGGTGTTGCTGGGTCAACACTCTCCTTAATGTCATTCTGGCTCTATATACATCAAATGAACTGTGGTGGTTCAAGAAGGCAGCTTGCCATGTTCTCATGGCAACTAGAGATGAGCAATACATATTGGCCCAGCCAGCAATATCCACATTCCCTCACTTTTCCCAGTAGTGCAACAATTTTATTTCCTTCAAATGCCCATTCGCTTTCCCTCAAAATCATTTATTGCCTCGTCTTCCAATACGGTCAGAGGTAGAGGGCCCCAGGTCATCACCATTCACTGTGTAAATATGTTCTTCACATTTCCCCCTGCACCTCTCGCTCAAAACCTTCAATCTGTATCACCTTACATCTGTACAGTCAGCTAACGGACAGAAAGCAAAGCTTTCCCTTATCAAACCTGCCATCATCTTGTATTATCAAATGTCCCCTCAATCTCCTTTGCCCCAGGGAGAAGAACCCCACTTCTCCAACCAAACATTGTTGTTAAAATCCCAGTGCAATGTGGTTGACTCTTAATTGCCCTCTGCAATGGCTGTTCAAGGGGAATTAGGGATGGACAACAAATGCTGATTTTGCCAGCAATGTCCACATCCCCTGAAAGAATGAGGGGAAAAGTGGTATAAAGAGTTTGTCTTTTGAGGAGAAGTTGAGCCTGCATCCATTAGCGTTCAAAAAAAATGACAGGTCATATTATTGAAATATATGAGATCCTGACGGGTTTTGACAGGGTGGATGCTGCTCTTTATGGGATAGATTAAAACTGGGGGACACAGTTTAAAAAATTATAGGTCTCTCAGTTAAGATAGCGATGAAGAGAAAAGTTTTCTCTGAGGACTGTTTGGCTTTGGAATTCTCTTCCCCAATTAGCAATGAAGACTGAGTGAATGTCTTAAAAATATTCAGAGATCAATAGATTCTTGATTAACAAGGTGATGAAGAGATATCAGATAATAGACAGGTGTTGAGGCCACTATTCGATCAGCCATGATCTTATTGAATGGTAGAGCAGATTTGAGAAGCCCCGTGGTCTATGCCTCCTAATTCATGTATTCATAAACTCAATGGCCCAGATTTTCTGATGGTTACTCATTCTTCCGGTGTCAATGGGAGTTGTGCAGGAGGACACCATAAAATTCCCATTGTATCAGGCTCTGAAGGAACAGCCTGGGAAATTGATTCTGCTGGGCTTTTACTTCATGATTGAAATTCTCCTCCATTTAAATCAGAGCATTCATAGATAAATACTCTAACTCTTTACTAGCTATTCAAATGACCCCCAAGGTAGCTCTCACTCTCCCAAACAAACCTTCTGCCAAATACACCTACATACCCCAGTCCCTGACCTAAAATTCTCTACCCCGGGACCAAATACTGTTGCCCTGCCCCAGACCCAACACCTCAACCCTTCCCTTTCTGAACCCACTCCCCACTTCCCCCATTTGGACCTGCCTCTGCCTCTGCCTCTGCCCCTGTGTGACTTTGCCATTCATTGGAAAATTTAGCCTATTTGTATTGTAAGCAGTAAAATCTGAAATAAAATCGGACCATGCTGGAAATACTCAGAAGATCAGGCAACAGTGATGGAGAGAGAAAGAGAATTAATGTTTCAGGTCAATTACCTTATCAGAATTGTAAGATGTTACAGATGTAATCAAAGTGTTGATTATACTAGCAAATCATTCACACTTCAAGAAAAAAAACCTTTTTAACTGGAAAATTTCTCAATTCAGGAGGGGATTTCTTGACATTTTTACGCAACGAAGCAAATCATTTTAGCACAAAAGACCTGATAAAGATGGCAGAGAATGCTGCTGCTGGGATGGCCTATTTGGAAAGCAAGCACTGTATCCATAGGTGAGTTCAGAAAAATCTTTGAAAACCGCTCTGACTATGAGGTAGCATGGACTCATGGAATGGGTTCATTGGTAATTTGATTGTTGGTATCTGTCACTCTGTTTATTCCTTTATCCTCTCCCACTCCTGAAGATAATGACCTGATAGAGAAGGTTGATGGGTAGAGAGTGAATTCAGCTAGATCCCCCACAGTACTTTCCTCATAATGATTATTTTTCATCGAAGATATTTGACATTCAAATGTGGGCTAGCTGTCCAATTACTGTAAATTTCACAGTCAACACCAGCCCTGCTCTCTCATTTGACTGCAGCCTGAAAGTAGGAGTGGAAATTTAGGCAAAATCTCACTCCATTTTCATACTCCCAGGACAGTGGGGGTCAATTTTAGTTTATACATGATGTGGAGGTGCCGGTGTTGGACTGGGGTGGACAAGGTCAGAAATCACATCCTTAGCAGTGGAGTGACCCTTTGATCTTTTACTTATAAATTCTGTGCCTGATACTACCTCTCTCACTACCACCTGAAGAAGGAATAAGACTCCAGAGGCTTGCATTTTCAAATAAACCTGTTGGACTATAACCTGGTGTCGTGTGTGATTTCTGGCCTTGGTTTATACAGCCACTTTGTGTTGACTAGCTAACTGAGTGTTGTTCACAGGTTTCATCTCAATGTTAAGAAAAAAGATATAGAGGCATAAGAGAAGGACAATTGCTTCAACTGGGTGGAATTCATTAGACTTCAGAATCTTGGCTGACACTGCTGGGGAGTATTTTATGGAGAGCAACATTTGGAAATGCCATTTTTTTTTTAAGATGTGGCGTTAAATCTAGGCCCTGCTGTGCTCTGACGAGTGAATATAGAAGATCTCACAGCATTATTCTGAAGAAGGACAAGGGAATTCTCCCTAATGTCCTCCCTCAAATTGGTATCACAAAAACAGTCATGGTCCTTTATTTAACAGGTGTTTGTGTGACCTTTCTGTGCACAAACTTAAACTAAAGTTGATTTTGGATTATATTACAGAGATCTGGCAGCCAGGAACTGCCTGGTTTCAGAGAAAAATGTTCTGAAAATTAGTGATTTTGGGATGTCTCGTGAGGAAGAGGATGGAGTATACTCCTCAACTGGAGGAATGAAACAAATTCCAATCAAGTGGACGGCACCTGAGGCACTCAATTACGGTACATCCTGGGTTTTACAGTTCAGCAAAACCAGGGCTAGTTTATTTTAATGAGTGTGGGAATTACTGTGTGAAGTAAGGTATGTTAGTCTGACACTGCAAAGTGTGCTCAGAAGCTAACCATCCATGCAATCTGGAAAAATGATAGCATAGTGGTAATGTCATTGGACTAGCAATCCAAAGATTGCTACCGCCAGATAATATTCTAGGGACATGGGTTCAAATCTCATCATGACATGTTACAACACATCTGGGGCATGTGGGTCTTGAATCATGAATTTCTGACCCACTGATATAAATTCCATTTAAACTAATTAGCAATATCTGAAGTTGAAAATTTAACTTGCTAGTTTCCATTAAAAACCCACACTTTACGCTAATATCCTTTTGGAAAGGAAATTTGCTGTACTTGATCTGTCCTACATGTGACTCACCACTTCGAGCAATGCATAGGGCAATTAAGAGATCAGTAACAAATGTTGGCCTTGCCAGTGACGTCAACATCCCAAGAGCAAGTAATGAAATATGTCAAGACCAATGTTGTCTGCACATCAGTGAATGCCTAGAACTGACCAAGAGTCCAAGTTGATATTTTTTTCTCCCTCTCATTGGAGCCTCTCATACCAATAAAACATTGTGAGAGTGACTCAATGCCACATACACCATCGAGGGATCAGGGTGACCGTTCCTATGATACTTATTTAGTTTCTTATGCAGCTAAACCTGGAAAATCAGAGAAGGTCATTGTGTTTCCCATTATTTTGTTTATGTTTTGGGAAAAGGAACACTTACAGTCTGGGGGGCATACAGCCTGACTTCTTGGTGCAACAGTTCAAAACGGGTGACAGAAAACCAGCAATTGATAACATCAGTGGGGATGGGATGTAAAATTGCCTGCCAGCTCACTCCAGCTGTGTGTGTGTTTGTGTGTGTGTGTGTGTGTGTGTGTGTGTGTGTCTCTGTCTGTCTATGAATGTGTGCCCAGAACAAGGGGTTGAAACCTTAAAATTACAGCATGACTAGCATGGGTAATATTAGGAAGCATTTCTTCACACAAAGGGAAGTGGATTGAAATCTAGAATCTCTCTCTCTGCAAAAAAAAACTCTGGAGGCAGGTGCAATTGAAAATTTAAAAACTGAGATTGATAGATTAGCTGAGGAGATTTAGTGTTAACGGAACCAGGATTGATGGAGTTAAGATGTAGATCTCACATGGCTTAATTGAGGGCTGAACAGATTTTAGGAGTTGAATGACTTTCTAATATTCCTATGTTCCTAGATCAATCAACATTTGAAGAAGCAAAAGAGAGTTCTATCATTGAAACTTTGAGCTTTACTGATGATAGTTCATGATTCTGGAACAGGCCTGCTGTTCTAAGACAGATTGTGCACCATATAAATCTCTGCTTCTGTTCATTTATCACAGGACGGTTCACGACTGAGAGCGACATCTGGAGTTATGGGGTACTGCTATGGGAGACATTCAGTCTAGGTTCAACACCATACCCAACCATGACAAATCAACAAACTCGAGAGGAGGTTGAACAAGGTGAAAGTCAACGCAAAATGATATTCAAGCAATAAGAATACGTAAAAATACACTGGGCACAATAAATAGGTCTTCTCCATTTAATAAAAAAACAATTTGCCTGGTTCCCTTCACACTTTCTCCTTTCTGGTGTTTTGGACAATATAGTGGCTAATTTACTCTGTATCTAACCCCATACTATCCCTGCCCTAGTGTTTGATAGGACAGTATAGAGGAAACTTTACTCTTTATCTAACTTCTACCGGTTTTGGGAATGTTTGAGAAAAGATACTGGGAAGCCCAAAACAGGAATTATTCCATTTTCCTGTGTTATTGGTGAGGAATGTTGTCTTCTAGTCTCAGACTTGGAGGATGTCTGTGAGGGATATGAGCTACCAAGTTTGCAGACCCCAGAAATAGCTCCTTAAAGACAAGTGGAAAAACATTGGGAGATGGGGAGATCTATTGCTGATCCACTAATTGATTTATTCCTTGTCTCTAGGCTATCGACTCAGTGCTCCTGATTCTTGCCCAGATGAGATTTACAGTATTATGTGTCGCTGTTGGCAGTATGATCCAAAGAAGCGCCCAAATTTCAGCACCATTCACCAGGAGCTTGTGGCTCTCAGGAAAAAATGGAAGTGAAACTGAAAACAATTTCTTTTGTAAACCATGTTCCAACTGCCCTCAGTGTATCGACATTAACAAGATTGGGAGTAACACCATATGTTTAACCTATCACCTGAGGGATGGCTAGCCTCGTTAGCTATGCTCATATCCAAAGAATGAATTAATAAAATATTTCCATCATGTTTTTTTTTTAATGTAGACCATCCAAACACTTCCTGTTTCAAGTAGGCAGCATCAACTTCACACAGGGAATGGAGAGAGACTAACACTCCCTTTACGCTGACCTAACACTTTGTTTCTGATGAAATGCCAATGACACTGGCTTGATATTTGGCCAGTCTTCCATCCCTAGTAGGAACTGGAATGAGACCACCTACACAAAATGCTCTTAACAGACAAGGGGAATTTTTTAAAAAATAATTCATCAGATGTGAGCTTTACTGGCTGGGTCAGCAATTAATGTTCATCCCTAATTGCCCATGGAGGAGGTGGTGGTGGTGGTGAGGTGCCTTCTTGAACCACTGCAGTCTATTTGGTTTAAGTAGCCATGCAATGCTGTTAGGGTGGGAGTTCCGGGGTTTTGACGTGGTGACACTGATGGAACAGCAGTATATTTCCAAGGATGGCGAGTGGCTTGGAGGGAAACTCTTCCCCCCCACCCCATGTTCCGATTGAAGGGGTCGTGGACTTGGCAGGAAAGATTACTCAGTGTATACACCAACTGATGTTGGAATAAGACCACATAAAGATTCAGTCACCAATTAGCACTGTACAACAGTGTCTCTCAGGGTTGAATTTATTAATGATAGCAAAAGAAATCTCCTCACCAATGTTTCCATTCCCCAGCATGAAGTCTTTACTACAAGAAGCAATTGGATATAAATAAAAAAGGATTTCTTATTATTTTGGAAAAATTTTGAGTATTATGGTAATTTTCTTCCCGTTTGCTAACACAGAAAAGGCCCAAGCAAAATAGAATCACAGAATTGTTACAGCATAGAAGAGGCTGTTCAGCCTATCATGTCTCTGCTGGTTTTCCAAATGAGCATCTCACTGAATGCCATTCTTATGTTTTTCTGTTTAATGTCCTCCCTCCTGCACTTTTATCCAAACTGCTTTTTCTACTCCTGACTGGGAGCTACAGGTAACAATCCCAATCTGTTACCTCATCCTGATTGGTCACAGGGCTTCACACTTAAAGGCTACTTAACTCATCTACCCCACTGCCCCATTTAACAGCACTGGTAGTCAATGGGAATCACTGGGCTAATGGTCAAACAGCTGAACCAGAGACAAAGTTTATCATTGGCACACAGGTGCGTGCACACACAAACACGCCCATTGCTGTATCACCTGTTGGACTGCAGTTTGAGCCTGGGATCTTTCAGGTTTACCAGCTCGCACTTGTAAGCAGCTGAACCACTGTCCTTGGGATAATTAGTAGACCACCCTCATTAAAATGGGAAAGGTTTCCCATTGCCTAACCTGGCTGCAGACAATTCTAATGTCCATGCTAACTGAAGATGAATTATTTTGGAACTAATTATCCCCTGTGTTTGAATTGAATCCTTTAAGGGATGTTGAAACTATGGCCTCAGACCAATTGCCACCCTTCAACCCTAGCAAAGCAATCCAAGCAGCTTTGTTAAATTTGTGCTTAGGTTGCTTGAACTATTTGGATTTTAAGGTGCTGTAGGTTTGAAAAGATTAGTTCTTAATTCCATTTAGCTCATTGATGTTAAAATCAGAACATAGATCTGTTTGTATCTATTGGAGTTTTATGGGAACATGACTGAAACTTGGTGGCGTCCTAATTATTTTTGTTCTTTCGTGGGATGTGACTTTACGTGTTGCTGGCTAGGCCAGCTTTTATTGCTCATCAGAAGGTGATGGTGAGCCACCTTCTTGGAACTGCTGCAGTCATGTGGTCTCTGGCATGCTCTGTGTCAATTTGGGATATGGTGACAAACCTCAACTGCCCCTGCCATTGTATTCTACTGTGAAAATGTACCACAGAAATATCTATCAAGTACTGCTGTTTTAATGAAGCTTAAATTGGACTATAAATTATTTAGCTTTTACATGAAAATGGTTTTTTATAGTGTAAAGTGAAATAAACAGCAATGGTCTAATTAATTATCTTGTTCACTAAATTGGTGTCTAATGCTTTTGAGAATTGAGTCAGGGGTTATTAACGTCTGCTTCAGAGTGGGCTTGGAGTCTCCACTTCAGTGATCAGATACACTTCAGGGAGACCATTCAGCCCATCCATCACAGAGGTGCTACATTTCTGTATCAGGTTCAACTCTCTATTCAAGAAGTTCTAGAACATCTACCATGTCCTAATAAACAGTCCTTTCATGAAGGCTAAAATCACCTCCAATAAACTGCTTCATCAATTTGTTTCACTATAATCCAAAAAGTAATTTATTGTCCATGAAGTGCTTTGGACAGTGCACACGACAAGTTAATGTGGCAATAAAGCAATTTAGATTTTATACTATTGCTAAACTACCAGAGAATAAATTGAGTATCAAAAACAAAACTTAGGTAATGCTAAAGTGAAGCAGAACAAGATATTTCCTAAGAGGTTCTCTCTCTCTGTTTGTCAAATTGGTTGTGATACCAGTTTCAGGCTATTTACAACATTGACCGCAGGAGGAAAACCGAAAATGAACCACCGAGTTCGCCTAAGGGGTCTTGAATGACTTCTCTATGCATCTACAACATATTTTTAAAAGTGTCATGTCTATATACATTTCTTGTTGCCATTTTTCATCCTAAGTTCTTATGTTCATACTGATAATGGAAAACACCTATGTAAAATGTCACATTGTAACTTTGCCCTCCATTGGTGAGAAGATATTGCAGAATCATTATAATGGGAGTGTCATTACAATCAGACAAAATACATCTGCAGTTACCCTTCTAAACAAGATCATAAAACTTTATGATAGAAATACAAAAATATTACTTTAAAATGATTATTGAATTAGATAGACTCAGCTTGATCCAGATATCTTGGAACTGCTATATTAAAAGACAGCACTTAGACTGGTGTGCATTGGTATGGGAAATTAACTAGCACGTGTGTTAACCCAATCCTCAGCCATTTACAAACAACATCTGAGTGTTTGTCAACAAACGTCTCTGCAAATCAACAAAAGCAACAGTGAACAGGCCTGGTGTTATCAGCACACTCCTGTACTACAGTGAGACCTGGACTGTGTGTTAGTAATACATTAGACAGCGAAAGAAATTCCCTCAGCCACATTTCCGCTGGATCCTTCCAATTCAATGGGAGAACTATTGAACAAACGCTAGTGTCCTTCTTGAAGCCAGCTCTATAAGTAATCAGGCAAAACTCCTGCAAAATCAACTGGACAATGTGTCCAAATGGCTGAAAGGTATCTCCCCTGCTAGGATAACAAGATGTAGAGCTGGATGAACGCAGCAGGCCAAGCAGCATCAGAGGAGCAGGAAAGCTGACGTTTCAGGCCGAGACCCTTCTTCAGAAATGGGGGAGGGGAAGGGGGTTCTGAAATAAGTAGGGAGAGAAGGGGAAGCGAATACAAGATGGATAGAGGAGAAGATAGGTGGAGAGGAGACAGACAGGTCAAAGAGGCAGGGATGGAGCCAGTAAAGGTGAGTGTAGGTGAGGAGTTAGGGAGGGGATAGGTCAGTCCAGGGAGGACAGACAGGTCAAGGGGGCGGGATGAGGCTAGTAGGTAGGAGACGGGGGTGGGGCTTGAGGTGGGAGGAAGGACAGGTTAGCGAGGCAGGGACAAGCTGGGCTGGTTTTGGGATGTGGGGGGGGGAGGGGAGATTTTGAAGCTTGTGAAATCCACATTGATACCATTGGGCTGCAGGGTTCCCAAGCGGAATATGAGGTGCTGTTCCTGCAACCTTCGGGTGGCATCGTTGTGGCACTGCAGGAGGCCCAGGATGGACATGTCGTCTGAGGAATGGGAGGGGGTGTTGAAATGGTTCGCGACTTAGAGGTGCAGTTGTTTAGTGCAAACCGAGCATAGGTGTTCCGCAAAGCAGTCCCCCAGCCTCCGCTTGGTTTCCCCGATATAGAGGAGGCCACAACGGGAACAGCGGATACAGTATACCACATTAGCAGATGTGCAGGTGAACATCTGCTTGATGTGGAAAGTCTTCTTGGGGCCTGGGATGGGGGTGAGGGGGGAGGTGTAGCACTTCTTGCAGTTGCAAGGAGAAGTGCCGGGTGTGGTGGGGCTGAAGGGGAGTGTAGAGCGGACAAGGGAGTCACAGAGAGAGTGGTCCCTCCGGAAAGCAGATAAGGGTGGGGAGGGAAAAATGTCTTTGGTCGTGGGGTCGGATTGCAGACGGCGGAAGTGTCGGAGGATGATGCGTTGGATCCGGAGGTCGGTGGGGTGGTACGTGAGGACGAGGGGGATTCTGTTTTGGTTGTTATTGCGGGGAGGGGGTGTGAGGGATGAGTTGCGGGAAATGCAGGAGACACCGTCGACAGCGTTCTCGACCACTGATGGGGGGGAAGTTGCGGTCCTTGAAAAACGAGGACATCTGAAATGTTCGGGAGTGGAATGCCTCATACTGGGAGCAGATGCGGCGGAGGCGAAGGAATTGGGAATAGGGGATGGCATTTTTGCAGGAAGGTGGGTGGGAGGAGGTGTATTCTAGGTAGCTGTGGGAGTCGGTGGGCTTGAAATGGATATCGGTTTCCAGGTGGTTGCCAGAGATGGAAACAGAGAGGTCCAGGAAGGAGAGAGAGGTATCAGAGATGGTCCAGGTGAACTTAAGTTTGGGGTGGAAGGTGTTGGTGAAGTGGATGAACTGTTCGAGCTCCTTGTGGGAGCACGAGGGGGCGTTGATTCAGTTTTCAGTGTAACGGAGGAAGAAGTGGGGTTTCGGGCCAGCGTAGCTACGGATTATTCCACGTAACCTACAAAGAGGCAGGCATAGCTTGGGCCCATTTGGGTACCCATGGCCACCCCCTTTGTCTGTAGGAAGTAGGAGGAATTGAAAGAGAAGTTGTTGAGGGTGAGGACGAGTTTGGCTAAGCGGATGAGGGTGTCAGTGGAGGGGGACTGGTTGGGCCTACGGAACAGGAAGAAGCGGAGGGCCTTTAGGCCATCTGCATGGGGAATGCAGGTATATAGGGACTGGATGTCCATCATAAAGATGAGGTGTTGGGGACCAGGGAATTGGAAGTTTTGGAGGAGGTGGAGGGCGTGGGTGGTGTCACGGATATAGGTAGGGAGTTCCTGGACCAAGGGGGAGAAAATGGAGTCGAGATAGGTGGAGATAAGTTCAGTGGGGCAGGAGCAGGTGGAGACAATGGATCGACCAGGGTAGTCAGGTTTGTGGATTTTGGGAAGGAGATAGAAGCGGGCGGTGCGGGGTTAGGGAACGATGTGGTTGGAGGCTGTGGGTGGGAGGTCACCTGAGGTGATGAGGTTGTGGATGGTTTGGGAGATGATGGTGGTCGGGGGTGGGAGAGTTGGCCCCTGGCCTTGGCGATGTAGAGGTCAGAGTGCCACACTACAACTGCACCTCCCTTGTCCGCGGGTTTTGTAATGAGGTTGGGATTGGAGCGGAGGGAGCGGAGGGCTGCATGTTCTGTGGGGGAGAAGTTGGAGTGGGTGAGAGGGGTGGAGAGGTTGAGGTGATTGATGTCTCGACGGCAGTTGGAGATGAAGAGGTCGAGGGAGGGTAGGAGGCCTTGGGGTGGTGTCCAGGAGGAGGGGGTGTGTTGGAGGCAGGGGAAGGGGTCAGTAGGGGGAGGGTTAGACTGATGGTTAAAGAAGTAAGCGCGGAGGCGGAGGTGGCGGAAAAACTGTTCATCCAAGCGTGAGTTGTATTCGTCGATGTTTGGGTGGAGGGGGACAAAGGTGGGCCCTTTACTGAGGACTGACCGTTTGCCCTCAGTAAGGGGGAGGTCTGGGGGTATGGTGAAGACCCGGCAGGGCTGGGTGCTACTGTCTCCTCTGGAGCTGCTGGCTGTGGAGGCGGTGGGCGGAGCGACGGCGGCGGTTGGCGGAGTGACATCGGCGTCGGCAGTGGGCGGAGCGGGGTAGGCGGTGGCAGCAGCGGTGTCGGCAGGTGCATCCTCAGCGTCTGTGGTGTTAGCCTCGGAAATGGAGGCGGTGGCTAGGTCCTGTTTTTCAACCCTTGTGGACAGCCTTCTGGGGGAGAATAAAGAAAATGTTTCAAGGACAACCCTGATGCCATAATTTCCCTTAATGGCCAAGAGGAGCTTGTTCCCAATCTTTTAACTCGGGGACAGCTTGTCCTTAACTGTATTATGCTTTGAATGCAAACACCTTAATGATAAGGCAGAATGGCAGCAGAGAAGAAATGGAAATAAAGCAAATCCTGCATTCTGCTGTCAGATCAAGGACCTCAATGGATTTTCCGTGCTGTGTGTCCAAAATCTTCAGGTTGAGGATGGGCTGGTCAGTTACACAAAGACCCAAGGCAGAATCTCATGAGTCATACAGTCATAGAGATGTACAGCACTGAAACAGGCCCTTCGGTCCAACTTGTCCATGCCGACCAGCTATCCTAAATTAATCTAGTTCCATTTGCCATCATTTGGCCCATATCCCTCTTGATGTATTCATGTACCCATCCAGATGACTTTTAAATGTTGTAATTGTACCAGCCTCCACCACTTCCTTTGGCAGCTCATTCCATACAAGCACCACTCTGTGTGAAAATGTTGCCCCTCAGGTCCCTTTTAAACCTTGCCCCTCTCACCTTAAACCTATGCCCTCTAGTTATGGACTCTCCTACACTGGGGAAAAGACCTTGACGATTCACCCTATCCATGATTTTATAAACCTCTGTAAGGTCACCCCTCAGCCTCTGACGCTCCAGGGAAAATAGCCCCAGGCTATTCAGCCTCTCCCTATAGCTCAAACCCTCCATCCTCAGAATGAGGGACAGCTGCAGATTCATTCAGTTCTATACTGTGGGCACTAGCCAAGGTTCAGTGGGTAGGAATCCCGCTCCCCAGTTAGGACATCATGGGTTCAGAGACAAGGACAGAAAATATTCCCGGTGAAGTACTGAGAGCATGTTACACGGTCGGAAAAGCCATCTTTTCGATGAAACATTGAATTGAGGCGCCGTTTGCTCTATCTCGGGGTGATGTAAAATATTCCATGCCACTGTCATCAACGGCGAGTTCCTCTTGTGGCCTCGCTGTAATTATATCCCAGGAAATAAAATTAAAATAATTACCTAGTCATTTTTCATTTACTTGACGTGAAATTTGCTGTACGTATATAGGCTACTTCGTTTGCTATAATAATTACATATCAAAAAAAATTTCAATTAGCTGTCTCATCGTTCGAGATAACTTGAGGTGGTGCCTGGCGCTAGGTAAATGCATGTCCTGTCACCTAAGGAGAATCTCCTTCAAACCGGTAAGGGCGCGAGGCTGGGTCCTTAGTGCGCAGACTCGCTGCCGGCTCTTCCCAACACGCAGTCTCAGTGCCGGGTCTACCAGAAGAAGCGTCGCTCAGGCGACGAGGGTGTGCGGGTTCTCAGGCTTCAAGGCCGCGTCTGTCCTGAGAGCGGCCGCGGTGACCAAAGGAGAAGCCTGGTGTCCTGGTTTCCAGCTGTAGGGGTGCACGGGGGGGGGGGGTTGCGGGGACCATGTTGCTGCGAGGCCGGGTACTGACATGCGGCCCCTGAGACCGGCCCCGCGGGGTGGCGGCGGGAGTGCGGGGAACCGGGATACCCGCAGGATGAAGCTGAAGAAGCAGGTGACGGTGTGCGGCGGCGCCATTTTCTGCGTGGCCGTTTTCTCGCTTTACCTGATGCTGGACCGCGTACAGCACGAACCGGAGCGGCGGCAGAGCGGAGTTAGCTTCCCTCGGGTAATGGCGACCCCCCCCCAAACACACACCCCAAAACACACACCCAACAGCCCCGGGGAGGCGGGAGGCCCGTGCGGGGAGAGGAGAAGAAGGAAAATTAATATCCCCGCAAGAAGGAGAGAAGAGGGCGACCTGTGTTGGGGGTGGGATTGTGTACGGGAGGGAGACACTCAGGGGAAGGAGACGATAAACACCACCCCCAACCCCGCCACTCAGAAGGGAGGGAGCCACAGAAGAGGAGTGGGAAAGAAGACAAGATCCCTGGGGGAAGAGACCAATAAAGATTCACAGGATGAGGGAAAGATTGGCTCCCGTCTCCAGGAGTAGCGTGTGAGTGAGAGCCCGCCCCCCTCAGACGGTGTGTTACAGAAATCAGATCACTGTTTTGGGGGGGACGGAGGAATGTTGGGAGAAAGGTGCTGAGAAAGATGGAGTGTGAGACAGGAGGGAAGCTGCTGAGACAATAATGGAGTTTGGGAAGGGGGAGTGATAGAGAAAAAGGAGCTAGGTAGACCTAGACCTAGCTTTTCTGATGAAGGGTCTAGGCCCGAAACGTCAGCCTCTCTGCTCCTATGATGCTGCTTGGCCTGCTGTGTTCATCCAGCCCTGCACCTTGTTGTCTAGGTAGACCTAGGCTGGATGGGAGTTTAGATATAGGGGTTTGGGGACAGGAAAAACCTGCATGGGTGCAGTGTGGCGAGATAACAAGGAGACCTTGGAGAATGGGACAAGGCGATCTGTGACCGCTCCTGTCAGTGTCCCAAGATGTATTTAGGAGCAGGACTGGCTCATCATTCAGGATGTTTTCAACAGCATGGTGTGCAGTCAGTCAGGGCAGTGCTGAATAACACCATTTGAGTATGCATTTTTAAGCAATTGATTAATATTAAAAATGTCAACAATATTTTGTGTAGCTACCTGTTGTCATTCGCATTGGACTGTCTAGAAGGCACTTGGACACAGATTCAATAGTACTGTATTTTTCACAAAAGATTTGGATTAATAGTTGCCGCGGAAAACTTTCTTTGGCAATGGGAAAAGTCCAAGTGGAATTTTGGCTCTCTGAGCTGGCGAAGACGTGGTGGACTGAAATAGCTCCTGTGCTGTATGATTCTTGCGATGCAATATTTGGTATGTTTACAGTGCAACATCTTTCTTATTGGGATATTAAACAGCTGAAGTTTGTAAATATTCTGTTATCTGCTTAGTGAGAATCGTTTGTAGCAATTTCTTTTCTTTTAAACCAAAGTTGCAAATGCTGTAAGACAACTAATGTCACCTGGAGAGTAAAACAATTCTGTTTTCCTGGAGTTTTATTTGGAGTTCAAAGGAATGATGGCTTTGGCAGCGCTCCATGCAGCATTCCTCAGATAAAGCAAAAGATATCCTCTTTTCCCATTTACTTCCTCTTTTGTTCCACCTTTCCCTGAAGTTTCGAATGAGTTAATACACCATCTTATAACTCTCAAGTGCTGGTTCTTTTGTGACTCTCTTTTGAGCCTGGTGGCCATTGTTGTGTCTGAGCCCCATCTTGCTGCTGGTGTGTTATTAATAATTATATATATCTGTCCATGGCACCTAACAATACAACACAAGAATTGAGTCAGAGATAGAAGGAACTGCCAATGCTGGAGAATCTGAGATAACAAAGTGGAGAGCTGGATGAACACAGCAGGCCAAGCAGCATCAGAGGAGCAGAAAAGCTGACGTTTCGGGTCTGGGTCTATCCAGCTCTACACCTTGTTAACACAAGAATTGAAATGTGCATGACTCATTGCCCCGTTATGTGGACCATTTATCCTTGAACTTTGTTAAACAGTGCAGCTTTGCTACTGTATAACTAAAAGAGTTGTGTGCCTGCATCAGTGAAGGACCAAACAGTAGCACTTGAAAAGATATTCTGGTACAGGATATGCTTAAATAAAAATGGTGTTCTTTGATAGTTTGTAAAAACACTCTTGTCTTCAGTGTGTCTAATACAAATCTGTATATCCAGTGTTACACTGTAGTAGTGCAATACGAGCCTTGAGTTTCTATCTGCCACCAATTCTTGGACAATTTTCTCCCATCTTCCACCCTCCTATACTTTGTCTAAGTGAACACTGTGATCTGACAATAAGTTTCGACGGACTATGTAGAAGATATTACAACTTGGGAGATACTGAATTGTTTTTTTCCAGAGCGAGCTGAGGCTAGTTTTCATGTCAGATTGATGCATCACAATCGAGGAATTGAGTTGCGTTCCAGTCTGTATAGTTTTCTGCTGCATCAGACATGACTTTACCAATCAGGTGTTGATGCTGATGCCCAGTATTATATTCCAGGTTCTGCATTTCGTACATTGGATGCACAGTGTTCATCTGTGTAGACCTCTCTCAAGGTTCTGTGACTTTGGAACACCTATTTGCAATTTTCCTCTCCCGGGGAGTATGTCTGACCTTTTTCATTTGTATTCATAGTTAACAGATTCTGTGTTCTTCAAAGTACTGCCCACTTGCTGAATCAGAATAATACAGCACAGGAGGCCCTTTGTGCCTGAAAACACTGTGCAATTAGCTGAGTTGATGAACCAATACCCATAGTGCTAAGGGTAATTAAAAGTAGATGTTCAGAATATATGTGTGCCAGTGGGAGGGTTGAAGCAAGATGAGGAAGCATTTTAACCACAGTGGGTGAGTGAGCTAATACAAAATGCAAGACAACAAGGTGCAGAGCTGGATGAACACAGCAGGCCAAGCAGCATCATAGGAGCAGAAAGGCTGACGTTTCGGGCCGAGACCCTGCGATAGGGTTAGGACGTTTGGAGCACAGCAGGTCTGAGGGAGGGATTGGAAGAGGGTATTGATCATGGTGTAGGTTACCATGTACTACAGTCAATGAAATTCAGTTAGCATTCCCATAATGTGAGCTGCCCCACCAGTGAATAATAACCATGCAGTCAAGGTATTGGTTAGTAGTGGGCTCCTTTGATTAAAACCATTCCTTTTGTCTTTTGCATTTTGAAATGTAGCATCTCATTGAATAAATAGCCGTTGATGTTTTCTATGCCAGTTGTGGCCCACTGCCAAGTGTCAGCCAATGAATTTTTATTTTTTTTAAGACTTTGAAGTAAATTGTCAGGCTGCTGACATGGTTTACATGGACATAAGTGATTAAACTGCGTTTAACTGTCAGTAACTAATTCTAAAATTTGTTAACAGCAAATCAATTAAGTGTCAAATCTTTCGAAGTAAATTTGTGTGGAGTCACATTGAATAAATTTTCATTTTAAAGTAGATGATTTATTGCAAAAACTGACTGGGCATAGATATTTCTCGGGCCCAAAAAGTGTAAATGTGGTAACTTTGGACCTTGTTGAATTTGAAAAACTGATGGAGGATGGGAGAAGAATATTACTCTTAAAATTTAAAAAAAAAGTCAACTAAGCAGATCCTGCATTGATCGTTTTTGGTGATCTGAATGGACGAAGCACTGAATGGGAGGAAATATTGGATGAAGATGATGTGTCATATCATGGTGTATTTTGAAGTAGACCAAAGTCATTTTAAGGCGACAGAATTTAATTGGTGTGGAGTAAACAGAGTGGCAGGTCACTTAGAGTTTAATTGTTATCTCTGAAATAAACCATAGATTGGGAAGAGCTTGTGCATTTCGGGTACCAGCTGGGACCGTCTGTATATGAAATATTAATGTAGAATGCTTGGAAATTTAATGAGTATCTTGTCTGATCTTTAGATGTGAAGTATTAGATCTCTGCTGTGAACTGACACTTGAATAGAGCTCTGCCACAGAATATTCCCTCCACTGTTATATCTTGGGTCCATTGACTTTGCAATTTATTCAAGACTGAGACAGATTTTTAATCAACAGGTGAATTAAGGGTCATGAGATAAAGCAGGAAAGTGGAATTGAGGGTTATCAGATCAGCCATCACCTCATTGAAAATGGAATATAACAGATGGGCCGAGTGGCCTACTTTTCAACATCTCATGGCCCAGGGACCTGAGCCCAGTAACTATTATTGGAACGTTTTGGGTAGTTGTCCAATAGATTTTCTTTTCAGCCATTCTGAATGATACCAAGCTGGGAGGGTAAAACGGAGGTAAAATCCCCTAATAATCATTGCTTTCCCTTTTTGGTTTTCCATTGCAGAGTCAAATCTCAGTGCTGCAGAATCGCATTGAGCAACTAGAGCAGCTTTTGGAAGAAAATCACCAGATAATCAGCCACATTAAGGACTCTGTGCTGGAGCTGACAGAAAATGCTGGAGGTTTCCCTGGACTGCTCACTTACCAGGGGAATGGTTCCTGGGCTATCCCTGCAGGCAATCACCCAACTTTCCTGACTGTGTTGCCGCAGGATTGTCAGTTTGCCCTTGGGAATAAAGGACACAAAACGGACCTGCAGGTGGGGAAGCCTGATAACATGTTAAGGCAACATATTTCTGTTGGATTGTATAAATTAATCTGCATGGATCAATGATATTGTCTTTTAGTTGAAGCCCTTCTGACATGATGAGATTCCAATTGTGATGAAGGAGAGAATCACCTTAATGTAAAACTGCCAGCTTTCACCGTGACTGCGATATTTCATCCTGGTTTCATTATCCTTTAAGATTTCCGGCATTCTATCCCCCCTACTACTACCATAAACCCTCATCCCACACCCCTCTTAGGCCTCCCTGAGGGTTTCATTAATGCTACTTGCAGTGCAGTTTTCTGGTTCAGGCACCCTCATGTCCCTGGCAACCCGCCACTGCTGCAGATGAAACTGTGTATGTCAACTTCATAAATATGCAAGAAATGGTTTGAGTGGGAGCCTTAAATGCCAGCTTAGTGCAGTTGGTCGCGATTTAATTTAATGAAGGCCATGTGTTCAATCCCCACTCTACTCTTTGTGGTTGGTTTGTAACCAGATACCTGACTCAAGTGATGTAATCTCTATATGACCCTCTCGTGAGATCTATCATGTTTCATCTGGTTATTGTTCTTGTGAGATCTGGGTTTATGGCTTGAAGTTCTGCATAGAACAGCATATTCGTATTTACTGAAGTGTTATTCATGTTATACTTCTGTCAGCAGTGATTTAAAATAAGATGAAGTGCAGTACATCTGAAATAAAAGCTGTCAATCCTACACATTTCCAGCATGCCCTTCAGCATGCAACCAGTTCTGCTGAGGTTATACAGTTGTCTTTTTTACCAATTTTGAGTTGCTTTAATTTCCTTTTTTTTTTAAATTTCTAGAATGTGAAATTTATTCATTAATGACGAGCTCAAGATAAGATATAATCCATAGTACCACGAATGTATCCTTAGGGAAGCAGAATCTTCAAAACTGTTCAACCTTTTCATTTTGAGTTGTAATTAGTGCTGCCTTCCGGGTACTGCTTTTATTTTGAGTTATTATCTCTGTATGCTTGAAATATGCATTCAAAATAAACACAATTAAAGCCAACCTTACAGTGTTCAGAGGACATGTAATCATATTGATAATTGGTATTAATTATCTCACTCAGTAACCAGATCCTGTTGGAACGTATGACGTTAGGTTAGAGGAAATGATGCAGTGCAGTGTTCTGCAGTTGACTGTTTCGGTTTGGTAGTGGTCCAAAATTGCCCGCATGTTTTCTTTGAGATCCTTGGTAAATTCTTGCTGTTTTCCTCTGACAGATGCTGGATGTTTACTCACTTTTGAAGTTTGATAACTTGGATGGTGGTGCTTGGAAGCAGGGCTTTGAGATCACATACAATGAACACGAGTGGGACAATGACCCATTACAGGTTTATGTTGTCCCCCACTCCCACAATGATCCAGGTTAGTGGAATGCTGCAAACCCGTGTTATTGTTGGTGGGGAAATAGGCTTCAAGGCTCAACTAATTTTGCGACAACCTGACTGTGGCTTTGCTTTGTAACGTATCTGTTGACTTTATATTAAAAAAATCATGCTAGAACATGGCTAATTCTTTCTGTTTTGAGCTGATATCTGAAAGTTTGATTTGTGACCTGTAAATTTTGCAGTCAGTTGACCTGTGTATCTGCAGCTGTATATTAATCTTAGTTCTGTTGTTTTGTCAAACTGCTGGCAACACCAACCTTGTTCTGCTTCATTCACAGCAGCTAGTTGCTAGGGAGACCTGTCCTCTTTTGACCTCTTCCTGCATCTAAGTTCATGGATCCAAGCCCCATCTCAGGATCTCGGCACAATCTCTGCAGTCAATCCAGTACTGCACTGCTTGTCTTTTAGCTGAGATATTAAAATGAGGCCTCTCTGCCTACTCTGTTAGTTACAGTGGGTGTCAGATGTTTTATGTTATTGTATATGGAAGGGATAAATCAACCAGTTTTGGTCCTGGGCCATTACAGATTAGTTGATTGTTCATCTATTTGCATTTTACAGGATTTGCAGGATGTTTGTAAGTGGGTTGCTGTGTGTAATGTTATAACAACGTTACTGCACTCCGAAGTAACTTTGCATGTAAAATAATCAGGGTTATTTCTGAAAGATTTGAAAAAGTGCTAAGAACCTGATAATCATAACTCTTGTTTCTGAATAGGCTGGATAAAGACATTTGACAAATATTACCAGGACCAGACACAGCATATTCTGAACAACATGCTGCTGAAACTACAGGAGGACCCCAAGCGCCGTTTCATCTGGGCAGAAATCTCCTTCTTCTCCAAATGGTGGGATAACATAGACTCTCAGAAAAAGGCTGCTGTCCGCAGGTACGCTCTGGAATTTGGCTATGCTTAAATTAATTCTTTTGGGTAAAGGTACTGATGTGCCAGCAGAGGTTCCACAAACCTGAGCACCCCCTCCCATAGTGTACCCTGACAAGCAATCATCAAACCAAGACCAAGTGGCCGACTGTTGACCTACATAGATCATCTGGGTCCTGCCGCAGCAGAGGTTACTGGAGGCTGATGCAAATCTTTGCATTCTTTTCCTCATCTCATCTCATCTCCTGGGTGCTAGGACCATTTGTAATCAGAATTAATTCATTAGAAGCATTATCAGCCTGTCATCTCGCTGAAGTAAAATGGGATATCGATGCTGTTTAACCTCAGCAACTAGCTTCTAAGAATGAGCTTCTATTATTCCACTTGTATTGGACAGTTCTTGAGTTATAACTTGAGTTTAATGTGTGTTGCTCACTGGACTGACATTAATTTGAATGTGTTGCTTGGTTTGGTCACCAGATTAGCAGCTAGTGGTCAGTTGGAGTTTGTGACAGGAGGCTGGGTAATGACAGATGAAGCCAACGCGCACTATTTTGCAATGATTGACCAGCTAATCGAAGGACATCAGTGGATGGAGAAAAATATTGGTACGAGTCCACACTGACAAACCACGCGGATGACATAGCGGTACTTTATAGACTTGAGGCTTTTTGATGTGAAATTTGCCCATGTTGTCGGGTATTAATTCTGAAATGAAATGTTTTCCCATTGTCAACTTTGATCTTTATATGGTAAAGTATTGTCTGTACAGCCAGTAAGACTCACTGCACAGTCCCATCAAACAGTGAGTGGGCAGAAATAATGTGGGGTTAGTTCCAGAAACCTCCCTCTACACTGTCCCCGTGAAACACTCCCAAGAAAGGTACAGCATGGGATTCGGTACAAAGTAAAGCTCCTCTACACCACCCTCCTTAAACACTACTGAAACAGCTACAGCAAAAGTTAAATATATAGAAAACCGGAGCAAGAGTAAGCCATTTGGCCATCACGCCTGCTCCCCTATGGAATATGATTATGGCTGATCCTCTGTCTCTGTGCCGTACTCCGTATTGTCTCCATATCCCCAATGCATTTAGTGTCTGGCAATCTATCCATTTCTTCCTTAAATATATTGGTGACTTGATCTCTACCACCTCATTGCGGTGGAAAATTCCACAGGTTCACCAAACTCTGAAGAAATTTCTCATCATCTCAGTTCTAAATGGTATACCCTGTACCCAAAGACTGTGCTTTCCCTGGCTGGGGTCATAATCCCTGCATCGAGTCTGTCTGGCCGTGTCAGAATTTTATAGGTTCCCATTGAAACATATCTCCTTATGAATTCCAGTGAATACAAACATAATCAACTCAATCTCTCCTCGTTCAGTAAGGCTGAAAGCCTAGGAACCTGCCTGCTGAACCTTTGTTGTGCTCTGTCAACGGCAAGTTTGTTTCCTTGTGTGAGGAGACCAAAACTCTATGGTACTTCCAGGTTTGGTCTCAACAAGGCCCTGTCCAACCCAGAGATTATCTTTTCCTTCTGAACTCAAATTCTCTTGCAGTGAAGACCAGCAGACTATTTGCCTTACTGACTGCTTGCTGCAAATAAATTCTTGTATTCAGTGATTGGTGTGCAATGATACAGGTCCCTTTGCACATAAACAATTCCCAATCTATCACCATTAAAAGTATTCTGCCTTTTTGTTTTGTCTATCAAAGTGAATAATTGCATAATCGACCTGTCACATATTTGTCCTCTCACTCAAAGTGTCTAAATTGTTATGAATCACCTTTTCAATGGGATGTTTGCTTTAATTATATGTTCCTACGCTTTATATTTGCAGGAGTGATTCCAAAATCAGGCTGGGCAATTGATCCTTTTGGACACAGCTCAACCATGTCTTACCTACTCAAGCGAGCGAATCTAACTAGTATGCTTATCCAGCGAGTGCATTACTCCATCAAAAAGCACTTTTCGGCCACTAAAAGTCTGGAATTCATGTGGAGACAGACTTGGGGTAGGTGATAGCAGTGTTGTAAGGAAGTCCTGTGAATGATAACCTGAAATAGGCCCAGACAAGTGGAAACACACACTGGGTCCATAGCTTCTGGCAAAGGGTTTATCTGTTTCTTTTGCCTCTATGCACTTCCAGCATTCTGCTTTTCTTTGCTTTGTCTCTGCAAAGTTGCATAATTTACGGGAGTGGGAGCCATCCTGTTAACATAGACTTGTGAAAAAAAACATTTAAAATCAGTTTCTGTCTAAAGTGAGTATTTTGCTTTGTTCCCCACATTATCTTTTAGACATTGACTCAAGCACAGATATCTTCTGTCATCTAATGCCATTCTACAGTTACGATGTCCCTCATACTTGTGGGCCTGATCCTAAAATTTGCTGCCAGTTTGACTTCAGGCGTCTCCCTGGGGGGCGAATCAGCTGTCCATGGAAAATCCCACCAAAACCAATAACTAGTATCAACGTAGCAGAAAGGTATGTATTAGCAATGTGGACATTTGTACTGATCTATCTCTCTCCTCTCGTACCACTCGTAGGATCAAGCACTAATTTTGACTTTTGAGGGAAATGCTTAATCTAGGTCCCCACTAGTCAGTATTTGCTGGTGTGTGTGTTTTCACCATTATTTGAGCTGGACACCAGTTCATGACTGTGAACACTTGTCTATCTATTTTCACTAGTTGGATGGAGTTAGAAATGCTAAATGGTCCTCTTGTGCAGTCTTCATCACAAAAGCATTGCATTTTTTTTTCTAAATTAATTTGTTTGAAAATACCTGCATCTTCTATTGTTGAATTTCCTATGCTGTTGTTTGGTACCCTATTGTGTTGGGAAGTTCTTCACGTGATCAACTTGTAAAATAGGTATGCTAGGTACAGGAAAGGGTGGTATTGGAAGTGAAATTGCCTGTCATAATTGAAGACCCAGTTGGATGTTGTGATGGACTGGCTAAATTTGTGATGGAAGTGCTAGAATAGTTTGCTTAAGTTGTCAATCTTGTGCAGTTTTCCTGCTTGTCAACAGATGCCATTGATAATAACCTGAAGTAGAAACACAGTTTGGTTATTGGTTATTCTTCTTGATTTAAATCCAAGCCCTTTGTGCCAGTTGTAGAATTCTGCTACAAAAACAGAGTGCTGAAGAAACTCAGGTCAGATAGCATCTATAGAGAAGAAAATGTTTTAAGTTCAGTGACCTTTTGAGGTGTTGACTTGCTCGCGAGCTGGCTTGTTTTTGTTCAGATGTTCCCTAGCATGGTGACAAAACATCATTAGTAAGGCCTTTGATGAAGCGATGTTGTTCTACTCCGCTTGGAATTTATACTGTCTGGTCCATTATGGTGAGTAGTGTCATTTCCGGTTTTGTTTTGTATGGGTTTGTATATGGGGTCCAATTCTGTGTTTGTTGATTGCCTTATGGGTGGACAACCGTGCCTCTAGGAATTCCTGTGCATGTCTATGTTTGGCTTGGGCAACAATGGTTATGTTGTTCCAGTTAAACTGATGGCATTCATTGTCCAAATGTATTGATATTAAGAGAAGTTCGTCGTGTCATTTTGCTGCTAGCTGATGTGTATTCTGATGGCTAGTTTCCTTCCTGTCTGTTCAATGTAATGCTTGTACCATGTTGGTTCTGCATGTTGTGGGAATGGGGTCTTAAATCCTTCTGAGTGATTGTCGTAGAGTGCCTGTGGACTTGTCACTGACCAAATCCTCAACTTCCATAGCAACCACCCCAACGTCCACCAGCAAAGCTGTATTAGGACACTGTTTAAACGGGCCACCACTCACTGCATCCCACTGGAACTATGCAGGAAAGAGGAAGAGCACCTATACAAACTCTTTGCTAAGAACGGATATCCCCACAACTTCATCGCAGGTGCCTACTAAATAGACAACAAGAGGACACAATATGCCCTAACACACTGGCCACACTGCCCTACATCGAGAACATATCAGAAATGACGAGACTCCTACGACCACTAGGAATCACAGTAGCACACAAGCTCACAGCCACTCTACGACAAATACTCTCAAGGATTAAAGTCCCCATTCCCACAACCTGTAGAACCAACGTAGTTTACAAAATATCATACAACGACTGCCACAAGCATTACATAAAACAGACAGGAAGGAAACTAGCCATCAAAGTACATGAACATCATCTAGCAGCAAAACGACACAACAAACTTTTCTTAATGTCAGTACGTTTGGACAATGAAGGCCATCAGTTTAACTGGGACAACGTAACCGTAGTAGCCCAAGCCAAACAACACATGCATGGGAATTCCTAGAGGCATTGTTCTCAAGGCAATCAGATATAGAATTGGACCCCATATGTAAACCCATACAGAACAAAACCGGAAATGACACTACTCACCATAACGGACCAGACCGTATAAATTCCAAGCGGAGCAGAACAACAATGCATTATTGGAGACCTCACTGATGATGTTACCTAGCATGGTGACAAAACGTCTGATCGAAAACAAGCCAGCTCAGTGAGCAAGTCAACAATCTCCCCTACAACCCAAGCTACAAATCTTTGCTAAAACCTTATCCAGTGACCCTTTGTCAGAACTGAAAATATCTGGGAAAGGTAGTACTGAGGAGGCGATGGCCTAATGGTATTATCTCTGGACAATATTAATCCAGACACCCAGATACAGTTCTGGGGACCCGGGTTCAAATCTCACCATGGTAGATGGTGGAATTTGAATTCAATAAATATCTGGCATTAAGAATCTAATGATGACCGTGAATCCATTGTCGATTATCGGAAAAACCCATCCGGTTCACTAATGTCCTTTAGGGAAGGAAATTGCCATCCTTACCTGGTCTGGTCTACAGGTGACTCAAGACCCACAGCAATGTGGTTGACTCTTAACTTCCCTCTGGCGAGGCAGTTAGGGATGGGCAATAAATGCTGCCTGGCCAGCGACGCCCTCATCCGATGAATGAATTTTTAAAAAAAAACTTATTCTGATGACAGGGGTGTTTGTGTTGTGGCGGTAAATAGAGTACATCGAGATGGGGGCCCAGAGACAGTGCGGTAAAAACGAGAGGTAAACAGATTGCTAATGAGCTGATGCTGCTATCCTAGTTCTGATCAGCTAACTCCACATTGACACGTCAGATCTGGAATCTTTCTGCCCCAGATAGCATTGACTCATTGTGGTCTTGTATTTTTCTCCTTTTGGTTTACTGCTGTACTGGCATACAAGCAATCTCGCCATGATGGCACAAGCTGTTCAATTCAAACATCTCCAAGCATGCTGTCGAGACTCCTTTTGTAGGAAGCTAAGGCTTTAGACCTAGTCTGAAGAAATGAAAATATGGAATTTTGAAAAAATATGACCTGAACACAGTAGATTATGGGACAACATGATTGAAGTGCTTTTAAAAGGAAGTGGACAGGATAGATAGCAGATGATTACACGTGGTTGAGAGTTCCAGGAAACGGGAGCATTGGAAAAAGTTAAATGGAAGACATGAGCTCGATTTCTTGAGTTTATAAGGCTGTGAAATTCAGTTTGTGGCTGAGGCAAAAACTCAGTTTTAAAGATGGTATTGGTTAGGTGGATAAAAGAAAATGCATTGTAGGAGTTTGGAAGAATGTGGACAAATATGATTAGAGCAGTTATCCCACGAGAAGGGTAAAAGTGGACATGTTTGGTTGAGTTAAATGGTAAATTCTGTGTTGTAACTTCTCTGCATTTCTGTGAAAATGATGTTAGGTTAGAGGGCGTGGATAATTAGAAAAGGTTGTGCAAGTGTTATTTAGTCTGTAATTTTATATCCTACACGTGTTTCCATTATAAATTTACATGTACACAGTCACCTTGGAAATAATCTGTCTAAAGTTGTCCAGCTTTAATTACTTGCTGATGCTGGTCACTATAGTACTCCACTAGTGGGAAATTTATGTATGTCATACCAATGAACTTGGCAATTTATAATGAGAAAGGTTGATGGAAGTCTGTGCAGATGTATATAGATTGCTTATTCCTTGTTTTCATATCCCAACTTTTATTAGCATGGTGCTGCTTTATGGAGGTAAGTTTCCTTTCCTATGAGGGAATGCTCAGTGAATTAACATGTCATTTTCTTATTGCTAATAAGAGAATATGCTTGCTCTTGTTCTTGCCTCCTTTTCACGCATGTTTGTTACACGCTCTGCAAATTCTAATCTCCCTCCTCTTAGGGCAAATTTGCTCCTGGATCAATACCGGAAAAAGTCCAAGCTGTACAAGAGCAAAGTGGTCCTGATTCCAGTTGGAGATGACTTTCGTTATGACAATGCTCTGGAGTGGGACCAGCAGTTCCAGAATTATGCAAAACTTTTTGACTACATGAACTCTCACCCTGAGCTTCATGTGCAAGTAAGTTTCTGTGTCAAAGGTGAAATATAGCTATCTGGATTCCAACGGTTTACCAGTTGTACAGACCAGGCACATCTGTCCTTTGAGCAGTCTGCGGAGCTAGCTAGCTGGCCAGCCAGGGGAACAAGTGAGGAAAAGGTTGATTGTAGCAGGTCAGGCAAGGGAAGGTTCTGAGGTTTCTGGAAAAACCTGGAAGTTTGAGAGCAAATTCAGCTCAGCTGTGATTTCTTCCATGTTTAAATATCAGACTGTCATGTAAATGATGTTTGTTGGAAAAGATGCTGGAAGGGTGTCTGCAGTAAAGTGCAACTAAGTTGGCAGTCTCAAATGTCAAATATATAGGTGTCTGTCATTGCTTGTGTCCTGAATGTCCATTTATTTACCAGGTGCAGTTTGGAACGCTATCTGAGTACTTTGATGCTGTCTATAAGAAATATGGTGTTAGCCCGGGTAGCAGGCCTCCAACCTACCCTGTCCTCAGCGGAGACTTCTTCACCTATGCTGACCGTGAGGACCACTATTGGAGTGGATATTTTACCTCCCGACCCTTCTATAAGAATCTAGACAGAGCGCTGGAGTCGCACCTCAGGTAAGGAGCCATGTTTGTAAGCAGTTGTACTTGGAGCTCTTAGATTTTATAGTGGTAGAAAAGTGTAAAAAGATATTATTAAACTAATAATTGAGTCTTGAGGGAGAGACAAGAAGTGACAATAAAAATCTAAGAGGACGGAGATGGGTGGACATGGAGTGATAAAAAAAGCTTTTGAAAGATGGAAAATCACGACTGGTTTTGCTTAAAAAAAAATAGGAATTTGGGCCTTGCAATTTAGGAACTACATCAGCTCGTTGAAAGTCTGCAAGGGAGCTTTATCAGTGAGAGATTTTAGTTGAGTAGGCACAGAAGCCTGGACTGCTTTTCATAGAACAAAAGGAGAAGTTTTTAAAAAAAGAAATTATGCAGAGGACTTTTAGAATGGTGGAAGCAGCGTAACTTTCAAAGAAGGAAATGGATAAATATGTTACAAAGGGTGATGCCCAAGGTTGAAGGGGACAGGATAAGGGATTGGGATTAAGCTCTGAGAACTGGCTCAAGTGCTTTGAGCTGAATGACTTGCTTCTATAAAATTCTGTGTCAATAAATGTACACTGGCATTTTTATTAAATAACTCAAGCTAGCCTTCTGTAAAAACTCTAATTTTATTCCAGAGCAGCTGAGATCCTCTACAGCTTGGCCTTGAATCACGCTCGACGCTCTGGTGCAGACAGTAAATACCCAATTTCTGATTATAGCACACTAACAGAAGCTCGTCGGAATATTGGCTTGTTCCAGCACCATGATGCCATTACTGGCACCTCAAAAGAAGTGGTGGTCATTGACTATGGGATCCGGTATGTGTCACTGTGCACCTCAGAAATGAAATAAACATCCATTTGATATATGCCAGATAATTATCTTTATTTAGGTCACTTTAAACTTAACCAAGTTATCCATGTAAACTGGGTCACTGCTTGCCTGGTATGGAGAGTGAGCAAGCTGTCGGACTGCAAAAGCTGAAGGTTGAGGACCTCCACATTTAAAATGATTTGCTTTTAGTGTTTATTTTCATAAATGTTTCTGTTGCCAAACCATAACAAAGTTATGTAGACCACTGAACTTCAGTGTTAGCAGCTTAATGCTGCCAACTAAACACAGCTAAAGTTCCTGCTCCTCATGCTAAATATGAAAAACTTGGAGAGATGGAAATCTGGAAACATAGAAAGTAGGAGCCGGAATAGGCTGTTTGGAACTTTGGGCCTGCTCTGCCATTCTGTGTAATCATGGCTGGTCATCCAAATCGGTATTCTTTTCCTGCCCCCCACCCTTGTACTGTTTGACCCTTTTAGCCTTAAGAACTACAACTTCTTGAGAGCGTTCAGTGACCTCAACCACTTTCTGTGGCAGAGAATTCCACAGGCTCACTGCTCTCTGGGTGAAGAAATTTCTCCTCAGTCTTAAATGGCTTACACTGTATCTGTAGACTGTAAACCTTGGGGGTCACATGGCATTCACGAGCTGTGATGGAATGTTGTATAAATGCTGAGATTTCTGAAACTGTTATGGGACATTGTATAAGGTAACGACCTAATTAGTAACGTGCACTGATTCTCAAGCCCAAAACTTGCTGATTTACCTGTCTGTTGGAATCAAATTAACAAGACACTGACCTGGTTTCTGTACTTAAAAAGAATTTTTGTTTATTACAAATAAGTAAATCTGAATTACAAGTAAACAGCTGTGAGCTATCAAAATATTTTTCAACGAGTTCAAACTCTAACTCCCTTTTTAAAACACCTACACTCTCTTACAGACATACAGAAAAATTGGTGTTTCTATTTGGAGTGGGGACAAAATCGGGGGAAATGATTCAATAGCAAGAATCTACGTGGTTCATGATGTTTTTTATGCTTCTAACCAGCTGTCTTCATGTTTCAGGTGCTTTTACGTGCAGAGAAAGTGAGAAACTTGCATGCGCGCAAACGCACTTCTGTGTTTCATTCATGATCACAAACTGTTTAGCTGCCCAGGAAACAGTTATCAGGCTGATGACTTTTAGCATCCATGAATAGTCACATTTGCACAAACCAATCAACTACCTATAGCTTGCTGTATGCCCATACAGCAGTACAGTGCCATTTCCAAGCATTGCTTTTTTCTCCCCCCCTTTTTCTCTGTTTCTCTCCTCACCACCGCCCAACAAAGCAGCAGTCAGTGTAAATACCACTGTCAGTGTCACAACTTTACTGCATAACGCTGTCGAAGTAAGGTCGTCAACTATATTCAAGGCAAAGATAGATTTTTTTATAATCGGTAAGGAAACCAAAGGCTGTAGGGAAGAGGCAGGAAAGTGGATTTGAGTGTTACCAGATCATCCATGATCTCATTGAATGGTGGGGAAGACTCGATGGACTGAATGGCCTACTTCTGCTCCTATTTCTTATGTTCTTGAGGTGTTTCAGTAGCTTATTTTTAAGTGCAATAATTCTTTTCATGGTGCTTAATTTTGAACTGTCCTTTTTTCTATTTTAATCTACAATCAGGAATGCACAAGATAAAATGATAGGTCTTTCTTGAAAACCTAGAATTTATTGTGATGTGGGGGGACATCTTATGAACATAGGTTTTCAGAGGCTGTGATGGATGCTATATAAACAGAAGACTTTTTCCCCCCTTTTCAGATTGTTTCACTCCCTTATGAACTTGAAACGAGTGATAATTAATGCAGCTCACTTCTTAATACTATGGGACAAAAACGACTACAGATATGACCAGTCATCACTTTTCCTGCACATGGTAAATTACCTTTTGATCTTTATGAAGTATAATTTTATCTCTAAAACCAAAACTAAGATGAACATATATATTTCAGCTCAGAACTGAGCAACAGGAGTCTATCCTGCAGCCAATATATTATCCATTCTTAGACTGAGTGCAGTGCCTTAGAATTCAGTGTAGATTAGTCATTAGAGTTTGAAATGCGTCAGTGCTTTACATCATCTCATTCTTCAAAATAGCATAGCAATTTTGTGCACTCTGTTAAACAGACTTCCATTCAGAGGCTACCTGGACTGGAGCCTGGGTTCATTATATTGTGCAACAGGTGGGTGTGGCACTTGGATATCTTTACTGGCCAGATCGAATGAAAGCAGGCAGGTGATGAATGCAAACAATTTCTTTTCAAATTTTGGGTTGCTCTGTCTTTTGTCGGAGGTCAGCAATCTCCTGGGCAATTGTTTTGACCCACGAGATATTCTGAGACCAATCTATTGCATTTAATCTTGCATAGAGTATCCAGTCCTCATTGTGAGGGCACCAAAACTGTCGTTCAGTGGTTACAGTGATTTCAATGATGCAATATATGTAATTGCCCACGTAAACGTGTTTTGTATTTGAAAGGGTTTTCAGTTTTTGTCTCCCTTCATCATGCTCTGTGTTGAGAGAAAATGTCTGGTTCCCGGACATTTCTATCTATTGGATAGCCTGATATGTCATGTATCTTTTAGTTATAGCTAGTGATTGTTAGACTTGCTCTCTTTGTGAATTATATTGTTTCAATCTTAACTTCAGGATGATAAACGACAAAATCATGACACATTGCCAGAGAAGGTGGTAATAAAGCTGGAGTCTCTTCCCAGGTATATCAGTTATTACAGTAATTCACCCAATGAGATCTCCTATTCTTGTATGTTAAAATTGTGTTCTTGATGTATGTTCCTTGTCTTTTTCCTAGATATGTGGTCGTACTTAACCCCATTGAGCAAGAACGCCCCTGTGTTATTTCTGTTCTCGCTACCTCTCCCCAGGTCAGGGTTACATTAATCGATGGAAGCACTCTTCCTACTCAGGTCAGCGCTGTGTGGAAATCACCAACCGATATGGTAACCGACATATATCAGGTACTGAACTGAATTCTGGTCCATGTGAATTTGAATCCAATTCTGGGTTAACAGAAGAATTTCAGTAAAGTATAACGTCTGAGATGTGAAATGTTTGTGTTGTGTCCATTTGGGCATAGAAGTACAGCTATTGATTCCACCCTTCCAAACTCTGATTCAAGAGATTCTTCATTGGTACTAGGGCAAAGGACTTTTTGATGCAATTCCCATTCAACCTCTCACTCATGAGTCAAAGTTGGAAATTTCACTCCAGATTTGAGCATGGTACTAAGGCTGATGCGTTTCAGCACTGGAAGAAAATTACATTACATTATCCAAGAAACCTTTACATCAGTTCTACTCTTTCTTTTCAAATGAATGCTTTTTAAAAAGAAACCCATGGCAGTACTTGCAGAAGAGTAGTGTGTTCTCCTGGAGGCACGATTGGATATTCATCCCTCAGCTAACTATGCTATAAACAGATTATTTCATCAGTTATTTCTAGTGTTTGTGAAGCCTTGCTGTGTGTTAATTGCCAACATAATTATGCACCAGAAGCAATTACTTGACTGTGGAGAACTTTGGGATGTACTGAGGACATAATACATAATAAAAATGCAAGCTCACTCTTTGAACCTGTCAATCTTACATTAGTTCAGAATCCAATGTTAGTTTATGCCACAAATATATTCCTTACTTCTTTTCCTGCTCTGTGAACAGTGACACCACTGAGTATTTACACTGTATGGCGTAAAGTCAACTTTGAAAAGTGATGAATATGCTCCTTTGTTCAGTGTAGTGTAACATGAATTTTTTTTCTTCAAATAATACCTGCTATGACATCCAATCTCTCTTCCAACATAGATCTCCTTTGTCTCTCGACTGTCTGCCCTTGGTCTTGCTGTGTTTCAGCTGACTGAATCATTTAACTATCGTGCGTCAGTAAAATCCAATGTGGTCATCTATCTGCGCAACAGAGATGTGACCGTGAGTAAGAAGGAGCCATTCAGTGTAAAGATCCTAGAGTCATCAACTGATGATTTCTTTATCGAAAATCAGCACATGCAAGTATGGTTTAATGGAGTGACAGGATTAATGGAGGTAAGAATGCCAATATGATTGTAGCACAAGTTACCAAAGAGCAGTCCAACTTATCTATATCCTACTTGTATGTGGAGCTTTGTAGAGAGCAGCTGAAATGTCTGAGTTTGGTCCATTTTTACCTGGATTAAAAGTGCTGGTGACCATTATTTCCTGCATTCAGAGTTACATTGGTGCATGGAGTAGCTTGTGTTACAGAGCTTATCTGAAAAGATAGGAAATGACAAGTTTACGCAGTTGCAAATTGAGGACAGATTTGGGATTTGAATAAGGTTAAACCTTCGTATAATTTGCAATTTTATGTTTAAAACTTTCTTTTTGAGTAACTGTTATTCAGGTACGTTTTATTCTCTCCTTTTCTGGTATCGGTTAGAATGTGGAATGTAACCACGTTGGTTCATATGTCTCCTTATTTTGCTCAGTAATTGCTGTTTACTTTCAGACCATCAAGCGGAAAGATGACCAGCAGAAGCAGAAGGTGCGGGTGGAGTTCATGTGGTATGGGACACGGCCATTTAAGGATAAGAGTGGAGCATATCTCTTCCTTCCTGATGGTGAAGCTAAAGTATGAGACTTTAAAGCAACAACTTTCAAACCCTACTGGATTGGGCAGTGTGTGGAGGCTTGTGCACTTGCTTGGATATTTTGCAAACTCCAGGAGATCTCCTATCCTAAACCTGAGCAATACTGTTCCCTATCCAGAGCAGAATGCTGCCATCATTATGTGAAGCAGGTTTTTGTTTAGTACAATAGCGCTCGTAAATGTAATTTTATGTTCACTCGACAAAAAGCTGATGATTTAATGGATCTAAGAAGTTCTATAGTTGTAGAAAAGAAAAATCACGTTCCATCGTTTTAATACAGGAAGTCTTTACTTAAAGTGGTAGTCATTTTCCAAAACTTCACAACATTAAGTGAGGGTGTGAAGTTGTGAAATCAGCATTAAAACTTGCATTAGGTTTCATAAGGCCTTCCTTAGCATAAAATTATACCTGTACCTTCTAAGTTGAAATACAGTACCGTACTCCATCAACAGCACCCTCCTCTCTGGTCTGTAATGTATGTTTATGGGTCTCTGTGGCATATAAACAACAAGGTTGTCTCTTGTGTATGTACTTTGGCTACTACAGAGGCTAGGAAATTCAGAGTCAAAAGGTAGGGATCTTGTGGCTACCTGCTTTACTAATGAAAAGTGTGTACCAGCTGGGTTGCCCCTCGCTTCAGTAGCCCCCCTCACTTACAGTCAAGTCCTGTGCTTGCTTAATGGGAAAATTACTGGAATTGTACTTCCAATAAAAGAACCTTTTGTGGAGTGAAGATATTTGGTGAAATGAATCTGAGTGTTTCCCTTCTGTTTTTTTAATGGGGAACGGCAAAGTTACAGCATTATACTAATTCAAATACAGAATAATACTTTAAAGAGCTGGCGAATAACACAAGGTATTGTAATATCATTCATATTTTGTGTAATTTGTTTCATAAAGTGGTTGCACGTGTTTGCTTTCAGGCCTACATTTCCAAACAGGCTGCGATCACCCGTGTAACCAAAGGTCCATTGTTCTCTGAAGTTGTTACTTTCTATCAACACTTCCACCAGATAGTTCGTCTCTACAATCTGCCAGGTAACAGCAGTTTTCCTTGCCCTTAGGTTGCACTTTTGTCAAAAGCCCTCCAGGATGCACTAGTGGAGTAAGAGCAGTGAATACTGAGCAGAAAATTGTTGACTACATTTTCCATGAGACTGTAGACGGGAGCCATGATGCTTGAAGAAGAGAATTTTCCAATGGATTGAGAAATGTGATTGCCTGTGCACTGATAGGGCAGTGAGGAAAGTGGGCCAGACTTGCAGAATGTTAGAGTCAATGCAACAGTGGATGGTTTCAGAGTTCCGTTGTTGACAGTGCAAGGATTTGATTTTCAGGTTTTGAACTAGATCCATTCAACAATAGCAGGCTGGGCTTAAAACATAGTATGCAGCTCCATCTATGGGTTCTTGACTATCAGATTATCAGTAACAGGCTTGCACCACCTTTTTCTATTCAATATGTGGCTACATGCTGAGATTCTTGCTGGGTTTGACACTTCTAATAATTAAAGTATTATTAGCATTGCAGTTTGGAAGTCTACATAACAACAATGGCTGCATTGAGTATGAAGCACTGGGGAATTGCATGTTGCTGTATGAATGCAAATTTTTTTCTCACTACTGGTGAGTGAGATTATTGCACTTAGCCTAGTCAGTTTCACTGTGCAGTATCTGCTTGTAAATTCAGGAACCAACTGTAGTTCAATGGATAGCATCCTCTCTTGATTTAGAACGTTGTGGGTGTGAGCCCCACTCAAAGGACCTTGCCATGGAAACCTGTCTGATGTTTACAGTGCCATATTGAGGGCATGCTGTACTGTTAGAGGTGCCAATCTTTGGATGAAACGTTAAACTGAGGCCTGGTTATCCCCCTTTGTTAAACATAAGATCTGATAACACAATGTTGAAGAAAATAGCTGGGGAGTTTTTTCTGATGTCCTGACCAATATCTATTGCCCAACCAGTAGCTTAACCAGTAACCATGTCACTATTTGTAGGAGTTTGCTGTGCACAGTTTAGAAGCTACGTTTGGCAGTGACTATGTTTAAAGATACTATATTTAAAGAAGCACTAAGGTGCTTTAGGATGTTCTGCGGTAGCACTAGGTGCTATAGAAATGGAAGTCTTCATTTTTGTTTGTAAACACTTGACAAGAAGCGTGATCAGGGCCATCACGTAGTGGGTGTTAATCTTATCCTTTTTTAGGTGGAACTGCCCAAGCAGGTTCGAGCGATGGCTATTCCATCTGCAGCAAGAACTAGCAATGATTGATTTCTGTAGGCATTCCAGTGAAATTCCTTCTGGTCTGAAGACAGCAGCATAGTGAAATGAAACATGTTGTACTGTAAACACGTCCCTGATCTCTGCTATGTCCTAGTATTCTAGGTCAGTGGTATGTCCCTTATTTTAAAAGTTGCAGATTTAATACTGCGCTAGGTTGGGAAATAGTGCATTATCCAATTTTTTTATCCATGTTTGTAGGGAAACATGAATGCCCATTTGTTCAGAGCAATGTTCCATTAGCAGCAGGTAATATAAATAGCTGCTTAGTGTGTTTATGTGGGATTGGCTGATGGAGGAATATTAGCCATTTAATAATGCACTGACACTTTTTGTATCTGACAGATGGGCTGGGCTTTAACATTTCAGCTGGAGGGCGGCATGTCCAGTTGTGTAGCATAGAGATGTCTGCCTAAGTTATATACATTCAACATGTACTGCAGGATGTATGTTTGTCGATTGGTGAGAGAGTTGCTGTTGAACTGCACTGTTACTTTATATAAAAATTAATATATTAAAGATAAATCAAGAAACTGGTTAGGCATTGTCAAACACGGTGTTTAAAAATCTGTAGTACAGCTGACTGTGTGTGTGTGTGGTGAGTAGTTCATAGTTGTGAAATACAATGAGTTGAAGAAGGAGATGGCATGATGAATCCTCATTAATGAGGATAAAGGAGGGAGTATGTAGGTCTGAGGATTTGGGAAGCAGGAGTGAGGTTAATTCAGCAAGTGAAGCATTCTGTCCCATAGCCTTTGCAATGAACAAATGGAAAAAAAAAAAATCTTGCTTTGTAATCGATATCCTGTTTGTTATTTCTCAGTCTTGAGGTAATACCATTGACAGTGCAGTTTACCTTGCATTAAGTCATATTTATATCTAGCCTTTGCATGTTTTATTTTTAATTTTCTCCCATCCCCTATTCCTTCTATGATTTAATCATGGAAACGTAGAAAAGTTATAATTCAGAAGAAGGCCATACAGCCCATTGTGTCTGCGGCAGCTGAAGAAACCTTGCCTGTTATAATCACATTTTCAAGCATCTGGTTGTTAGCCTTTCAGGTTAGAGCTCTTCAGGTGCAGTTTCAAATTCATTTTAAATGAGTTGAGGGTTTCCACCTCAAATACTGAGCTGGGCAATGAAATGCAGACATCCACTACCCTCTGGGTGAAAACATTTTTCCTTGTATCCCATCTGATCTTTCTATCAATCATCTTAAGTTTTCTGTAGCCCCTGGAAATGTACTTCTCCATAGGGGCAATGGGTCTTCCCCCTCCACTATATCCAAGTCTCCCATTATTTTGCGCATCTCAATCAAGTCAACCCTCGAGCATCTCTGTTCTAAAGAAAACAATTGTAGCTTTTCCAATATTTCTTCATAGCTACAGTTTTCAGACCCTAGCAACATTCTTGTAAATCTCCATACTCTTTTTGCTCTCCAGCAATTCTGACCTTCCTTTTAATGTGGCGACTAGAACAGGCCACAAAACTTCAACTGTGACCTAACCAGAATCAAAATAGTACCCTATAACATCCCTGCTGTTGTCTTCAATACCTCCCCCAATAAAGGAAAGTATCCTATGTGCTGCCTCTACCATCTTATTTACCTGTTCTGCTGCCTTCAGGGATCTGTGGATGTACACTTCAAGGTTTCTCGCTTCTCCTCCTAATCCTCTCAAACCTCCCATTTATTCTCCAAAACCTTTCGCATTTTGTCTTATTCATTTGTGGGATATGGGTGTTGCTGGCTAGCCAGCATTTATTGCCCATCCCTAATTGCCCTTGAGAAGGTGCTGGTGAGCTTCCTTTTTGAACTGCTGTAGTCCACCTGCTGTGGGTTGACCCTCCATACCCTTAGGGAGGGAATTCCAGGATTGAATCTCCAGATTGAAATATGTTTGTCACTTTCAGGCCCAATCACTCCTCCTCTTGAAGATGGCTACCTGTCTGTATACATCTGTGGAGTGTGCAATATACTGTGTACCTGTTTATGTATAATGTGCATTTTTTTGATGTGTGATGCTGAGGTGTGATCTAGTACTTATTGTCTATCTTCTGTTGACCTGATGACTTAGCTTGTTGGACCATGGCAATGAGTGTTTTTCAAGAGCAAAAGAATCTTATGCACTCCATCTCAGGGTGGTGAGTTCCTTTCCCTGAAGAAGAAACTACACTTGACAGGTTTTAAATTCAGTCAGGCATCTTTTGTGGTAATTTTTCAATTGTTAAATCCTTGCAATTTTGTTTCACAAATTGGTTTAGCAAAGCACATTGATTTCAACACAACAGATCCTTCACTACTTAGCTTGATCTATTACACTTAGACAGTTATTCAGAGCCCTCTTTGCAACGGGCACTGAATAGTGGCAAGGTGCAGAAGGGGACAGTTTTAATACCATTGTTGCCGGTGGGAGTAACAATTCTTGTGTGTTATCATGGCAGGCAGTTAATTTCACTGTGGTGATCCACTTCCACTGCTGGGTATATCTAATGAAATACTGAATATAGAAAGTGAATTTGGATAGAAAGGTGATCCAATGGTCTGTTCTGGAAAAGGTCTTTGCTGGTTTAAAATGATGTCTCTAACTCTCATTCCTGTCACTTGGTGAGTAAGTGTGGATCCATTCTGGCACTGAGTCATCAAGTCCGACAGTCCTGCACCAAGTCTACCCCAAATTAACTGCTATCAGCTGGCATTTGAACAGAATATAACAAAATTAAGAAATTGATTCCAGTAAATTGTTTCTAAAGTGTGAAATGTGGCACAGTGATAATCCACCTGTGTGCTCTTGTACTGACAGGAGTTGAGGGACTTTCGTTGGATGTTTCCATTGTTGTCGACATTCACGACCAGATTAACCGAGAGCTGGCGATGAGGCTGTCCACCAGTATTGAAAGTGGAGACACGTTCTACACAGATTTGAATGGCTTTCAGGTAACTTGGCGTAAAATTACTTCACAGACGTTTGAAGGTTCCCTTCCCTCCATGGAGGTTCGGGGAGGGGACGGACAGAGAGGGTAATGTTTAAAGTCTCTTATGCAGTGACCTTTAGAGGATGTATAAAATTCAAAGTTTTGGCAAAGATCTGTAGCTTGGGTTGTGGGTGAGGTTGTTGACTTGCTCGCCAAGCTGGCTTGTTCTCGTTTAGACGCTTCGTCGCCATGCTAAATGAAGTGGTGTTATTCTACTCCACTTGGAATTTATATTGTTTGGTCTGTTATGGTGAGTAGTGTCATTTCCACTTTTGATCTGTATGGGTTTGTATATGGGGTCCAATTCTATGTGTTTGTTGATTGCATTGCGGTTGGAGAGCCATGCCTCGAGGAATTCCCGTGCGTGTCTATGTTTGGCTTGGGCTACAATGGTTACCTTGTCCCAGTTAAACTGCTGGCCTTCATTGTGAGTGTACCAATATTAAGGAGAGTTCATTATGCTGTTTTGCTGCTAGTTGACATTCATGTATTCTGATGGCTAGTTTCCTTCCTGTCCATCCGATGTAATGTTTGTGGTATCGTTGCGTGGTATTTTGTAAACTAGGTTGGTTCTGCATGTTGTGGGAATGGGGTCTTTAGTCCTTCTGAGTGTTTGTCATAGAGTGGCTGTGGGCTTGTGGGCCACCACGATTCCTAGTGGTCTTAGAAGTCTTGTCGGTTCCGATATGTTCTTGATGTATGGCAGCGTGGCCGGTGTATTAGGGCGTACTGTGTCCTCCTGTTGCCTGTTTAGTAGGCATCTGCAGATGAATTGGCTGAGATATCTGTTTGTAGTGAGGATTTTGTATAGGTGCTCTTCCTCTTTCCTACGTAGTTCCATGGTGTTGCAGTGTGTCCTGGCTCATTTAAATAATGTCCTAATGCAGCTTTGTTTGTGGGCATTGGGGTGGTTGTTGTGGAAGTTGAGGATTTGATCAGCATGGGTTGCTTTTCTGTATACTGAGGTTTGGAACTCCCCATTGGCCATGTATAAAATTGTGGACCAGCCATCTGCTTTCCTGGACATTATTAACTAATACTAACAAAAACAAATCAATCATTTTCTCATCTTGCTGCTGTTTGGGGCTATAATGTATTTATATTTTCATTCATTCATTTAAGACATTTATGTGGTAACATTACATATATCCAAGTGTAGTTGTTATTTTGTAGTGGGTATCTGTTGGGTCAGGATCAATGAAAATCTAAGAAATAACAGTAAGGATAGACCATGTGACCACTTGAGCCTACTTTCCCATTAATCACATCTGATTCGAAAGATCTTCGTGTTCTAGTGCATGAGTGACAAAAAGTTAATACACTAGTACAGCAGGTAATCAAAGGTGCTAATGGAACACTGTCCTTTACAATGAGAGGGATTGAACATAACTGAAGCCAAACATTCTTGGATTTATCCTGTGCACTAGTGAAATCACAGCTGGGTGCAGTTTTGCCATCTTATTCAAGGGAAGATGTAAGTGGAGGTGGTTGAGAGGAGACTTGCTAGGTTAATTCCTGGAAAAAGTGGGTTATCTTCTGAGGAAAGGTTGGACGGATTGGGTTTGTTTCCACTGGAGTTTAGAAGTGTTTATGGGTGACTTGATTGAAGTGATATGATCCTGAATGGTCTTGACAAGGTGAACATAGCAAGGGCATTTCCTCTTGTGAGTGAGTCCAGAAGCAGGAGGCACTGTTTTAAAATAAGGGCTTGCCCTTTTAGGATAGAGGAGAATTTCTTCGAGCCACTTTGGAACTCTCTGCTTTCACGATGTTGAATTACCCCTCCTCCTTCACCTCGAGGCAGAGATGGATAGATTCTTGTTAGTCAGGGAAGCAGAGGTTATCTGTAGTAGATGGAACTGTGGAATTCAAAACAAACATCAGGTTCAGGGCCAAATGGCCTTATGTTCCCATTTCATTTGTTTGTATTTGGTCTTGGGAAATGTGCCATATTTTTAAAACAAGATAATCTCCGTACAGCAGTATGGATCAATCTTAACTTGTTCATACCTTTTCAATTGCTTCCTGTAGATTCAAGCTAGAAAGTATTTTCAGAAGCTGCCCCTTCAGGCCAACTTCTACCCGATGTCGACCATGGCCTACATTCAGGATGATCGATTCCGCCTGACGCTACACACGGCACAGTCTCTGGGTGTGTCAAGTATTCGCAATGGTGAGCAAACTGTCTGCATCCTACTTGACTTGGTAACAGTGCCTCCTGCAGTAATTGTCCTCCTCCAGTCCCACAGCATAAATACGATCCTTGCAACTTTAGCACTGCCCTGTACGGGGGAAAAGCAGGCCAAGCAATGCCAGAGGAAGCTCACGGCATTCTATTCTCATTTTGTCTAATCATGGGGTTTGGCATGATTGATAATTACACTGAGATTCTACAAACTTGCAGTTTAGACTGTAACTGGCATGTTTTATTTTGGAAGGCTTTTTTTCTGTCTTGGGCAGGAGTTAGAGGTGAAACAGACTGGAACATTTTGGGGAGAGTTTATCAGTTTTAGTTCCCCTCTGCCTCAGCACTTCTTGCCAGCATCTACCTCCTCCACATGGACCACCGAGGCTGCAGTTTCCATCTGATTTCAGCCGTGGCTGAGTGCAGCCAAGATGTAAGGAAAAGGACTCTCTGTAGAATGTTGCAGGCTCCCTACTCTCCAGTAACTTGGTCCTGAGAGTACATGTCTGGTTGGATATTGACTAACAGCAGGATTGGACCTGGGGAAACCCCCAAATTTTCCATCTCCTGTTTCCAAGGATACAAGGAGAGCCAAGGATTCAGGGTTGGAGGGGCGTGGTTTAGTGAAGAATGACCACTGCTGTTAGGGTTAAAGGTAAGGAATCCTATGGAGAAGATTGCTAATAAACCCTGAGGCAAGAAAACAAATTCGAAAGAAAAAGAAGCACAGCCTTCATTTACTTCTGCCTAATGCTGAATGGATCTCCTGTCCTGTCATTCCCAGGTCAATTGGAGGTAATTTTGGATCGTCGTCTCATGCAGGATGATAACCGGGGCTTGGGACAAGGGCTGAAAGACAACAAAGTGACCTGCAACAGATTCCGTATTTTGCTGGAGAAGAGATCAGCATCAAACAAAGTACTAAATTGTTTTTAACCCCTGCTTGTATGTGTCCTGTTGTCTGTGATTTACATACTGGAGAAAGTAGGAGCTGTAACTTTGAGAGGAATGGTTTCTTGCAGTGGCAGTCCAGTTGAAGGCGCCACTGTATCTGCTGCTTCACCGTTGCAGCTCAGGGATCTCCGATTTAACCCATGTTCTGAGTTAGGGTATAATTTGTCCAGGTAATGAAGGGGTGAAGTAATATAGCCAGGTCCTGCCTTCCAGTGACTCCCATGCAAAAGTTTGTATTTCAGGTGAGGGCAGAATTGTGTTCAAGTGTAATGCCTGCTTACAGCCAGATAGACTGCCCTTACTGAGTACTGATGCTTGCAAACTCTGAGGGCTGAAATACCCAATGAACTATCTCAGCAAGAATCAACAGGACTAACGGAGGACACTGGTGAATAATAGGTAGTGTGGTTAAGGAAGATTATTGTGCGTTGATGATGCGCAGTCTGTGGGTATGTGTGCTGCACGCATGTGCATGTGAGAGTAAGTGTTGTATTGTGCACAGTGTCTGTGTATTGAGTGGTGGGGAGACAGGCAGGCCAGGGGTTAGTGTGTATTATTTGGTGCGCATTGGGTTGGGGTGATGCTCAGTGTGTCAATGGATGCTTTGTGCTTGTTGCTTTCTCACCACGCTGCTCACCCGACAGGGTATGTGCTTATTGCATGACCAGAAAGGAAATTTACAGGGGTGGGCATGTGAGTCTGTGATGTGTTGCATGTATGTGTACATATTGTGATACCATTGGTGTTTGGATCCTTATCTGTGGGGTGCGAGTGGCTGGTGAGTATCTGGTGGAGTGGTGCAGTTGTGCGTATTTTGTGAGGCAAGTGTGTGTCAGTGTGCTGCAGTGTACACTGATAGTGTTGGTGCAGTATTCTGCCTGTGGGATTGTGTCCATGCACATTGAGCTGAAAGATGTGTGTGGGGTTGCAATGAGTGGTACCTGTAGTGTTTTAAAGCAAGTATACATATGTAATTATACTATGCCTGTGGAGTGTAAATGGATAGCTGTACTTGCCCATTTGCTGTACTACATGCCTTCATATTCATCATTTTCTCCATTCCCATTGCTCCTCTTCAGCACATTGGCTTTCTGTCAAGGCTGCACTCCATGTTACAGGCATTTTCAGCTTCCATCCTTTGCAGGACCAGCACCCATGAGGTAACCTTTTAGACAAGAGGCCAGGTCAAAGTGTAATCTGTAAATTAACTTTGACTGCCTCTGTGCTCTGAGTCATAGCTGCAGTATGAAATGTAGCTAGTAGCTGTTGTCTCTGTCTGTTCGTGTGAAAGCTCTTTAATCTGTATTGTTTCATTCACTAACCAGAAATTCACCCGGGCTCGAGAGGTTAAATCAACCAGGGTTGCAGTCTTCCAGACCCTGATTGCTGTTCAGTAATTCTTCCTGAGAAATGTATGAGAGAGACAGACTGATAAAGACAGTAGTTGGTTCATCTGTGGTCTAGATTGAGAGAGTTCACACCTTAAGACTTTTTCCAATTGAACATTAGGCCTTGCGGACCCAGAAGTGTACTTCAATAATGAGCCATTAATGAGGGGAGAAAGCTAGCAAAAATTAAGCACCTCGCAGTACATTCTAGAACTCTCAAGCTGTTTATATGTTGTCTCAGTGCACCCTGCTTCTTACCCACTTCTGACTCCCTGCTGCCCATGTATCTTTGGGCATTGGAGCTGGTGGAGCACAACGGATGTGATTTAGGCAAGGAAACCAAACAATGTTGAAGTGTTTTCTGAGAGGTTATTTAAGGATGGGTCTGCAATAGTACTGTGTTACGGCTTATTCTATGACCCAGAGGAGTATTAGTGAGCAGATCCATCAGTGCTCAAAGTAAGGTTCAGAACTAGCCTGTGTTATGGCACAATGCCTGACAACAATAAATCTGCCTTGCATACTGAGCAGTTCTTTCAACTAGATTATGCTAGTCAGAATCCATGCTACACCATTTAGTTTCTGTTTGAGTATGCCCTACTTTCAGTCGAGTCCCAGCCTAGTTAAGTCCCCATTTTCTTTGATTAGAACTGGCTGGTTCCCTGTTCTGGTTTGTTCAAAAGGCCGATGCATTAGTTCTCCTCAGTACTACAGTAGGTGACTGCAGTTACCAGTGTAGTTTGAAGACGCTCGTGCCAGAATGGCCATTTGTGCTGTGTAACATGATCTTGGTCTGTTGTTGCTTGGCCCACTTTAATTAGTTCTGTCAGAGATAGTAAGAACTGCTGATGCTGGACTCGGAGAAAACACAGCATGGAGCTGGAGGAACACAGCAGGCCAGGCAGCATCAGAGGAGCAGGAAAGTTGACGTTTCAGGTCGGGACCCTTCTTCAGAAATGAGGGACAAAGAAGGGAGTTCAGAAATAAAGAGAGAGAGGAGGGGTGGGGTTGGGGAAAGGTAGGTGGGATGGTGATAGATGAGTGCAGGTAGGCAGTGGTGGGGCTTGGTCACTGACGTGGGAGGAGCCGATAGGTGGGGGAGAAGATGGACAAGTTGTGTCAGGTCAAGGAGGTGGGGATGAAAGGGAGGGTTGGTCAACTCCCCCTCCCACTCCCTGGGCGACATGTCCATCCTGGGCCTCTTCCAGTGTCACAGTGACTCCACCCAGGAACTGGAGGAGCAGCACCTCATATTCCACCTTAGGGAGCCTAAAGCCCAATGATCTCAATGTGGACATTACCAGTTTCAAAATCTTCCCACCCCAGGCCTCATCCCATGACCAACCCTCCCTCTCATCCCCGCCTCCTTGACCTGACAATCTGTCCATCTTCTCTCCCAACCGTCCACTCCTCCCACGCACTGACCAAACCCCACCACTGCCTACCTGCACTCACCTATCACCATCCCATCTACCTTCCCCAGCCCCACCCCTCCTCTCTCTATTTATTTCAGAGCTCCCTTCCCCCTCCCCCATTTCTGAAGAAGGGTCCCAACCCGAAACATCAACTTTCCTGCTCCTCAGATGCTGCCCGGCCTGCTGTGTTCCTCCAGCTCCACACTGTGTGTTATTTCTTAATTAGTTCTGTGTCCTTCTAAGCCAAGGGAAGGTAAAACATCAGCCAAGGCTTCTGCTCCTCAACTCTATCCTATGTATTGTATGTGGACGTTGAATGAAGGCAAGATCGGTGGTGGCCATGTTTAAAAGTCTTTTGGCATTTACTTGAAGAATTTGAGTGTCTAAACTATGTCTGTGAGCCATGCTGTGGCCCATCAGACCTGCCAATCCAGACATCAAAGTTTGGGCTATTCCTCCCTGTCTCTCATTATCTATCCATCTCGCTCGCGCTCGCTCTCAAAACTTTGGAAATTCACAGATGAACACTCTCTTGGTACTGTTCCCTCATTAATAGGTAAAACTGAAACCAAAGCCTGATATCTTAGTGGCAGCAGCTTATAGAATTGATGGGGGCATGATGATTTATACTTCTGAGTCGTCTCCCCGGGTGCTTTGATTTGAGTTTAGCTGCCCCAATCATAGGTCTGGACTCGTGCTCAGATGATCAACTGAATGAGATAACCCATGGAACCAATTGTCTTCCGAGAGTCCCCCAGTGGTGGACTAAGAGTGGATTTGGTGAAGCAGTTCAGAAATGTTAAGTTGCTTAGATTCGCTTTTATGTCAGTCTGTTGCCTAACCAGGTGACCTGAGATCAACAGCAAACTGAGACTTTCTTATTTCAATTCCTACAATTTCAGGACAGTCAGCCTGTGAGCTTTCCCTCTCTGCTAAGTCACATTACCTCAATGCACCTCAACCATGAGGTTCTGGCGATGCCGATTATACCAAGGCCACAGAATGTTCCACCCGTCAGAAGCTGGCATCCACTTGCGACTCCTATACCCTGTGACTTTCACATGCTGAATATGAGGACATTACAGTCTGAGGTGAGAGGTTACGGTGGATTGGCATCATAGCATTAGTGCTGTCACTTAACTAATTTCTCTTCTGCCCAATGTGCTCAGTGCTGTTGGCTCTGCAAATTGGAGATTTTGTCCTCCGAAAGTGCAATTGTGTTCAACACCAGACCCTAGTTATCTGGATATGTGACTTTGTACCTGGCTCCAGTTCAGCGCTGTTAGTTTCTGCAGCAGTGGAACTAAATTGATCTCATAATTTTGCAACAGATCTCCTCATGCTGTTGTACATTGAAATGTGAGTCAGTTGCTGAATGATCCTCTTTATCATCTGTATTGCAGGTGGTTTCTGCCCCTGGGTTAGAGATGGCGCTAATCCTTCATAGGAAAGGATTTGATTGTGGGCTGGCGGCCAAGAATCTGGGCTTCAACTGCACTACCACCCAGGGCAAGGTATGAAACACGGGAGCATCTGACATTGAGCTTTTCACTCTGCTTTAGATATTAATGGTTTTTATTACATGGCTTGGTTAAGGTTCAGCTTTATTCATGGATGCCATTCAGACCATTAAATCTGTCACAGCTCTCTGTAGTAATCCAGTGTGTCCCATTCTCTCTCCATTCTCCCTCTTCCCCTCAGCCTGATAAGGATGCTGGAGTTGAGAAAATGGGAAAAAAAATTAACTAGAGCACCCTGCTCCCCAAGTATGTCAGTTCTGCTATCTGAAAATAGGCATCCATGAGATTTCACTGAGAACATGATCTACTCCAGTGCATTTGTCTCGGCTTGACATGAAGGTGGTGGGTAGGTGATGGTCCGTGGCAGTGTGCAAGAGATGGTACTGTCAGGAACAATAGAGGGAGAATTTTTTTGAGGGAGTTTTGCAACTCATAAAACCTCACCAATACATTTTGTTTGGCTTGTGTAACTTAGTATAATTTCTGACTCGGTGCTTGACTTGAAGGAAAAGTTGATTGCAACCTTACATGCCTCTTCTCTTTCTGTTCCAGCTATCATTGGAGGGTCTCTTTCAGGGCCTGGACATTCGGAGTGTGCAACCGATGTCTTTGTCCCTCCTGTACCCTACTGAGCCCTTCAACAGCAGCCTCGTATCCATGAGGCCGATGGAGATTTCCACGTTCCGCATCCGGTTAGTTTGAATAATTGTCTGACAGCGCTTCCAAGTTTGGAGCTAGGAATTAAGATGCCAACCAGCTACAACATGAACTGTTGGTCTTTCATTCCATAAACCCCTGGGTAGGGGGGCGCGGTGACCAGAGTAGTGGGGCTGATGTGGTTAGCATTACGAAATGTGGAACTGAGGACACATTTACTGGAACTGAATTTGTGACTTATGGACTTAAGATTGCATGTGCAGTGAAAGCACAGCAATAACACCTGTAACCAATGCACTTTTAAAAGAAAAAAGATGTAGGTACAATTTGTGCATACACCACTACAATGTGTGAGTTTTACTTTTATAAGCAGCCCTGATTTCATTGTCAACTCATAACCTTAACAATGAAATAGAATCCTTGGCATTTGAAAGGGGCAGGGGCTTCGCTTGTAATGTAAAAATCAAGCAATCCAGAACAAAGACGAGTGTGAATGTAACACTGGTGTGCAAAGGCATTGAAGCAGTCTGCACATTCATAATCAGTCGATGGCCAAGTCTGCCAACCAAACTGAGCAGGTGAAGAAAACCTGTATTCTGATCTGACTGACATGCAATTAAACATCACAGCAAGGCTGGCAATGGATTTCTCGAAGAATCATAACACTTGAAAGCGAGACAGGGTAGTCTTTATAAAGTACTTTTTCTGTTGCAGGTAGATGTAACAGCAACTGAACCTAAACTCATTATTAGCCAGAGACTGTTGCTTTCTGATGTATTGTAAATATCTTGGAGCCAATGCGGTAGGCAGTTAACGTTTAGTTGATCCTTTTAAGACTTGTCTCCCAAGCTTTGACTGAACCTGCAATTGTTCTGGGACACTTGAACACATCGGCTTCATTCATACATATTTCTTAGGGTATTTGTGCAATAATCTCTAGTTTTGCTGCGTGTTCTAAACTTAGTGGTGGGAAGAGTCACTTTGAAATAGGGATGTTACAATATTTACTTTGGAGAGTAATGATCTGCAGAAATGAGTGGAGATAAAAACAGAAAATGTTATAAATGTACCACGGACCTGATTGAGGGACCGCAAGTCAGTGTTCTGGAATGGCTATGCCACCGCTATCAAAGTTCTCCACCTAAAATACTCCTTCAGAATGTTGAAGGAGCCACTGTGTGTGTCCTGTCAGCTTTTCTATGTCCTGTTTTCCACATTCAGACATTCTTTTAGCACAGTGTGATCAAATTCATCTAACTTGTGCAGTAAACTTGAAATCAACAGAATTAATTGCCTTGTGGCATTTCTGAGGATCTGTCTTTTGAAACAAAAGGGATTTGAATGCTTTGGAGGTGATCAGTTGGTTATCTTGAAAAGACAGCTACAGTGGAACATTTGGATAAGTGGCTGTTGGAAATTCCCAGTATAAAATGAGAAAAATCCTATGTTAACATTTTGGAAAAATCATGAAAACAGTTAGGCCTGAAATTAAAGTTACTATGTTGAACAATTTTTTTTTTACATTGTAAAGTTATCATGTTCTGAGTAAAATGTCAGTGTCAAATGCACTTGTGTTTTATTGAAATTAATTTAATCCAGCAATGTGAAACAGCTTTTTCCATGCACTGATCATAACCGTTAATTAAGTTTAGGTGTGAGCAATTGTGATGTACATACTTGAGCTGTGGGGGAATACCAATGAGACAGCCAGAGACTCAGCCCTTCCAGGTGGACGTGATGTTTGGGGAAAATATTGAGGTATATAGCACTGGTGGTACACGAGGAAAGGGGCAGCAGGGCTGTCACAAGTGCAGCATGCAATTATGAATTAAGATTGTGCTACAGAGCTCTTGGGACACTGGTAGTACCCCCTACCCCTGGGCCAGATAGCTAGTTCAAATCCCATCTGCTCCAGAGCTGCATCTTGACATTTCTGAACAAGTTGATTTGGAAAATATCTGCAATTATGCTACTGTGACACTATGCATTCAGTGTGTAAACACTTGCAGACTGCTTTTGTCACTTGTTCTTATTGTGACATCCTTAGTTATGGGGGTTATTTTACAGAAAACCAGAACTTTGTTTAATAGTACATGCTCCTGACATGCATCAGGTTCACCTTTTGATCATATGTAAAGGATTCCGTGATCCTGATGGGATTAGACTTGGCATGTCTTCAGTCTGTGTCCTACAACGTTGACATTGAAGAATTGTCCATTTGTCAGATATCAGAATTTCTGTTAAGAGGGTGAGAAAAACCCAACTGCTGTAAGTTCTAAACTCAAAAAGTCATCAAATAAAACATTACAGAAACTGAGCTCTCTTGTAAATTGTAAGCGTCCATTCTGTGTGTACATGTTTGGAGGCCCTTAGAGCAGTCACTTGAATAAAAAAAAACAAATTACTGCAGGTGCTGGAACTCTAATAAAATCCTGGGACTGTTCACCATGTGCAGAGAGAGAGACAGTTAACGTTGCAATTGCTGATGAAAGGTTATCAATTGCTTTCTCCATAGATGTTGCCTGATCTGTTGAGTATTTGTAGCATGTTGTCGTTGGAGTAATTTGTTGCACAGTTGACACAGGTCAGGAAAGGGACTGAGCTGCATCTCAGTCTACTCTCCATCAGCGGACTGCAAATCCAACCCAACTATTGTTCCCCTCATTCCCCATATTGGGAAGGTGGAGGAAATCAGCTAGCATTGCTCTTGTGCTCAGTATCCAACAACCTATTGCAATCTATCTATTTGCCTGTTGGGCAAAAACGTGGTTCAGTTTAATTGCAACACCACCTCTGCAAGCATCGGTGAATGAATACACTGGGACGCAGCAGCATTGGCATAATGGTGATGTTACTGTTCTAATAATCTAGGACCCCTGGGGAGAGGAGTTCATCAAACGTCACACACACATACAAGTGCCTATCAGCTGCTCCTTGAATTTGTTAAAAATCTGGAGCTGAAAGAGTGACAGCTATCATTGATCGTCATAAAAACCTGTCCTGTTCAATGGCGTCCTTTAATGAAGGAAATCTGTCTTTGCCCAGTCTGCTCTACATGTGATCAGCAATGTGGTTGACTGTTAATTGTCCTCTGAAATGGCCTAGCAAACCACTCAGTACAAGGGACACTTGGGGATGGGCAACGAATACTGGCCGCACGAGTGAAACTCACATCCCACGAAATAATGAAAAGTTGAAGCAAGCATAAGTCTAGTTTGTTAATATTGCATTTATTGGTGAATATTCAGCAGGCATAGCCTAATTCTTTCTGCAGACTGCTTTATGCTTTTGTAATTGTCACCTAGAAAATGAATATCCATTTTTAATATGTTTGCAGTAAGCAAACAAGAGCCAGTATAGTGCCAGATTAATATTTATGGTTCCTGCCTGAAATATTTCTCAGCATTGAGCTGATTGCCAGCCTCTTGTTCTTAATAATCCCTTAGTGATTGATTGGGCAATATGGATAGTAGTTAAATCAACTCAATGCCTGAACACAGGTCCCCACACAAACAAAAAAAACAAAACGTCAGCATTGCATTGATTTGTAGCATACTTGACAGCTCTATGTCAGCATTGATATATTGGCTAAAATTTTCATCCATCTCTCTCAGACTTGCCTCCATGTTCACTGCATATCAATGAGCAGAGAACCCAGCGTGGTGATATCCTTGATTAGAGGTCCTGATAGAGCTCTTAACTCATTAAATACCAGCATTTATTATTGGGAGGGTACTGCTTATTCAGTGCAGCACTTGACTGCTACAGATCTCTGCCCATAAATAGTTACACTGTATAGCTGGTGGTGTTTTATAGCAATACAGCAAATGCCAATTGGAATGGTGTTTAGCTTTTTTGTAAATCTGGTGTGGAAAGACTCTCATAGGAATCTATTCTCCCCAATCACTAGCTCCTGTCCATTGATGCCTGACCTATGAATATTTCCTCCAGCACTTTGTTTTATTACTCCTGAATGGCTTTGCATCTCCCCCTTCCTGTACTCGGGTACTTCCTGTACCATCGGGATAATTTTTCTGACAGTCTAGCTGCATCTTCAACCCATTATTTTTGGTCTCTGTTTATACTATTATTAGTTGAGAGACTTATCCAACCCTTTTTAAAAATGAAGAAACTTACTTTGCTAGTGTTGAAATCCCGAGCACTGCCACACGCCCATCCACAGACGGAGATGCACACGCAAAACAACATTGGGGGAAGAATTCATTGTGTCACTATACCTTTTCTTTTTGAGAATGGGGAAATTCAGAAAAACGAGTTGATAAACTGCCACCTCTGAGAATTTTGTTTTGGATTCATTCGGAGGTTACCGTATCTCTGTCAAAGCTGGCCATCCCTACTTCCCCTTGACAAGATTGAGATGAGCCTCTCTACTTGAATTCCGACAGTCTGTGCAATGCAAGCATGCTTTCAGTGCTCCAGGATTTTGACCCAATAATAATGAAGAAATGGTAGTATTGTTCTAAGTCCAAAAGCTGTATGGAAATTTGTTGTACGCCTACTTCATTGCAATTTTCTCCCCAATGGACACCACTACTGACCCAGGAAATTCCCCATTCCTGGCATCCACTAAATTACCTGATATGAGGGATCTCTAAGGTTGACTGGATTGTTGGGAGAGAACAAATCAGTTAGGTTTCTTGGTCAAGTTCCTGTGTAGGAATGCTGGTGTTTGCTGAGGACAATAAGGAGAAATTTTCAAGTGCTCAAAGGAGTAGCAACAAGATGTTTGAGGTTTATGGTCTTGACAAGTGATTTAGAGGCGGCATGAATTATTTTTAACACAGTGCATTTGCACGGAGTGGAGGTTTCGATAGGTTTGGAGAAAATCATTTTTGCACCAAGTTATTACAATCTGGATGGCACTGCCTGAAATGGAAGTGGAAGCAGGTTCAACAATAACTGTTTCCCTGTCTGGTGCTCTGAAAAAGAGAGAACATTTCCTAAGAATAAGGGATCGACCATTTAAGACTGAGGTGAACAGACTTCTCAATAGACTATGAATGTTTTGAACCATTTAGGCCAGAGGGCAGTGGGTGCTCAGTCACTGAGTATTTTCAAAACCAAATTGAAGTTTTGGGCACTAAGGAAATTATTGGGTTATGAGGTGGGACAGGAAAGTGCTGATGCAAAAGATCAGCCATGACCATTGGATGGTGAAGCAGGCTTGAGGAGTCATATGGGCTACTGTTCCTTTTTCTGATGTACTCACTTTCAAAAGGGAATTGGATAAGGACTTGAAGGGAAGCAAAGTTACAAAGCCACAAGTGAAGAGTATGCTGGTGTGGCAAATAGTTGTTACAGGAACAATGGGCTGAGTGCCCTACAGTAGTGTATAATTCTGTTCCTATGATAGGGTTGGCCTTTGCTGTACTGCTGCTATGGTGGAATATCCTGATTCTCACTATCTTGCATCATCCGTCAATGGTGGCCATTTGGGTAAGCATCTGGAAAACCTGACCAGTGAGAACAGCAATGACAAAAGAGGGAGATACCTGTCTGAGGTGTGGAGAAAAAAATCTGCGATGATCAAGGTCTTCTAGAAAAAGAAATCACTTCCAAAATCAAATCTTGATTGATTGAATTGATTTATTGTCACGTGTACCTACGTACAGACAGATTAAAGGGTGCTTGGACAGAGTAAGACATACAGGTTGCACTGCACTGGAGATATGTGAAGCAAGATCAACATTAACAAGATCAACATTATTTGAAGTTAGACAGTCCATTCATTAGTCCAATAATGGCAGGGAAGAAACTGATCTAGAACCTATTGGTGCGTCTGTTCAAGCTTCTGTATCTACTGCCTGACAGAAGAGGTTCTAGAAGAGCATTATTAGGGTGGGAGGGGTTTTTGATGATGTTGGCAGCCTTTCCGTGGCAGTGAGACGAGTAAATGAAGTCCGTGGATGGGAGGTTGGCTTTCGTGATGGTCTGGGCTGTCTACACAACTTTCAATAGTTTCTAATGGTCCTGGGCAGAGAAGGTGCAGGACTGGGCCATTTTGCACCTGGATAGTATGCTTTCTATGGTGCATCTGTAAATCTCTTTCCTTGGAACATAAGCTTGGAGCAGCTGAGTACTGGTACAGAGGAGACTGGAGGCTTGGAGTGCAGCAGGGACGGCTGTAGGACTGGGATCTGGCGCGGGCGGTCAGATCACTTGTGGAGGCCCTGCACCGAGCTGCGACAATGTAATGTTTATTTGACATTTTTTACCCGACTGCAATGTCAATCCTTTAACGATGTCTTATTTCTAACTTATTTTTTAAAGTGTGGGTAATGCAACTACTTCTTATTCCTCTTTTGTGTCCATAAGAAGCAGACATTCTAGAAATTTTTCACTGTACTTCTACAATAGAGTAAACGTGACAATAAAGGATATTCTATTCTTTTCTATTCTGTTGTGGCTTTGTAACTTTGCTTCCCTTCAAGTCCCTATCCAATTCCATTTTGAAAGTGAGTATATAAGAAATAGGAACAGTAGCACATACGACTCTCCAAATCTCAGCAAATGATCCAACATACCTTTGCTCGAAATTACTAACAATGTAAATTAACTAGTCATCTGTGGTATTTTGTTGGAACCTGCAGTTGAAAGAAAGTTAAATACATAACTTAAATCTCATTTCTCTGTTTTAAATCAGCAGCTATACTGTGAGCCATTTTAACTTACAAATTGGGCAGAGCAGTTGCTGTACCAGGCCATCATGGATTATTACAATGGATTAGGTGGACATTTAATGATGAGCTGGAATTCTCTAAGGAAAATAAAGGCTGTGGGATCTAAAGAGCACTTCTGAGTGTTACATGGAATCTACATACATAAGTGGGCTATTCAGTCCAAATGATTTGTGCTAATTTTAATACTCAACAAAAGACTCCATCCACACTTTATTATCTCCCTCAACAGTCCCTTATCTCTCTATTCCTTACTGTTATGTATTTCTCTCAACAGTAACTGCTTCAACCACTCAGTGACAGAAAGTTACATAATCTCATCACTTTCTATGTAAAGAAATTCCTCCTAAATTCTTTGACCCATTAGTGACATTTCCCTTTTTGCGGTACTCAGTCACAAGTGAAATATCTGTATGCTTGCTTTATTGAACCCTTCCACAACTTTAAAGACCTCAGGTGTCAGATTTTATTTTCAATGCTTTGTCACATTGTTTAATAATCTAACGTGTTTTATCATCTCAGGGTCAGCTTGGATAGTATTCTTGGTTCATGTTTCACACAAGGACTTGAATATTACAATCTATTCTGACACTCCACATCAGCACTGAGGAAGTGTTGC